AGCAAATAGTGAGGTAATGACATCAACAGTTTTGATACCCAAGCTTCTTGCCTTGTTGGTGTGGTCAGTTTTGATAGACAAAAAATTAGGAAAATAACTTTGAGTAGCAACTAAATCCAATCCAAACTGAGAGGGAACATATAATTTGATTGTGCCAGCTTTGAGAATGGCATCCAAAGTTCTGTCATTGGAATTTGCAACGCTTCCAACATTGAGCAAAACGTCAACTCCCTTCAAGATATCGGTCAATTCTTTGGCTGGAGCATCTGGCTTGACCTCTGCTTGTTTATAAACAACTAGATCAGTGTCGGTTTCCTTGGAGTTGTCTCTGGTGATGGCAATAACTGGAAGTGCAATCTTGTCAGCAAATGGAGCTGAGGTCAAGGCATTGATAGTAACGCTACCTAAGGAGCCATTGATACCGAAAACAGCGACTTTTGGTTTGTAAGACATGTTGGATTGTGAACTGAGGATTGTGAATTGGAATAGTTGCGATAAAGACAATGGCAGATGGAGTGGCTACAACCAAGGGCATGTCCAATTCTATATATACTGGTTGTGCAAGTGCCAAAGGGCCATAGCAGTCTTTCCCAGTGTCTCAAGGAGGTGTTCCTCTTCTGCTTATCAGCATTAATAATCCGGCTCCAACAGGCCGAGCCGCGCTGTGATTGGCTCGTTTCGTGGGCCTTGAAAAGTGTGGAGCTCTGTATGTGCTGACAAATTCAGCTCTGATTGCACAACTCGCCTGGGAAAATGGTCTCATTGCTGGTGGAATGAAGAGCTGAAGAGCCGATGAATGCCTTTGCAGAACAGTCCCTGCTGTTCCGCCTCCTCACCTTAAATAAATCCACGTTAGCAAGTCTGCACTGAGAAACAACACAACAAAGTATGGATACAACCTGAAACTGCCCCAGAGCTCACAGAGATTGCCCATGAGCCAGGGCAAGACTGCTGCTCCACCACCACCTAGAGCCATTGCAAATCCTACTCCAGAAACATGCAATTGCACTGGCAAGATCTTCACCGAGTATATCGTTGTGGTGGGGAAGATTGGCCCAATAAACACCCCAGTCAAGAAAACCGTCGCAATGAACAGCCAGTAGCTGGAGCCCAAGCAAAACAAAACAAAAAACACTATCGATAGCGACTCATAGATCATGTTAGCCAAATACTCCGAGGATAACTTTGGCGTCACAAAGCCCAAAACAATTCTCCCAAGTGTTAACCCAAACCAAAACATTGATATAACCACTGACATCTGATCCATGGTTCCATTTTTGATCTTGATCAAATAACTCAATGTCCAGGCTCCAATTGATACCTCTGTGCCAACATACAAAAACAAAAACAATGCCAATCCTAAAACTTTTTTGTTCTTGATTGCATTTCGAATCCCACTCGATTCATTTGCATTACCATCGTTTTCACTTTCATTTTCTTCACTTTTATTTTCTTCAACTTGAAATCGATATTTCCATTTAGACTCGTGTTTAAAGACAAAGAAATCAATTATACTCACCACCATCGCTAACATGAAAATTATCAAATAGTGATATCTCCAGCTGATATTATTATTCAATAGCACTTTGGTAACAAAAATAGGCGTCACAATACAACCCACCCCATAACTGGCATGTAGCAACCCACTTAACTCATTAGAATACTTTAGTTTTCCCAACCAAACTCCAACTGCTGCATCTTGTGCTCCAACTCCAATCCCACACAATACATACCCAATAATCAATACAAAAAATGGTGGTTTGAACATCCCAATAAAACTGCATGTACCTATTAACCCAACAGAAGTAACTAGCACTCCATGAAACCCCATCAATCGATGCAAATAATCGTTAAATACAGATATAATAAAATATCCAAAAAATTGAGCAAAATATAATAACGAAATTGTAGACTCTTTCATTTCGTAATCTTTAACAAAAACCGGAATTAGCACTCCAATCGTTTGATCTGATAATCCAAAAATTATAAAACTTAAATACGATAGTATCACTTGGATCTTTAATAAATTGTTCTCTTTGATATCGTCAGAATCAATAATCACATCATGGCCTTGAAATTTCACATTCTTTACACTTTTTAATGTATTTCCATCATCTTCATTATCTGCTGTTGAAGAAAGTAAATTTTCTTCAAGATCGATTTCCTCAACAACCTCTTTTTTCGGTTTTTTTCTTAAAAAGTCCATTTTTTCAGCTCAAAAATAAAAATTTACTCCAAGTAAAATAAGTAAATAAATAAATAAATAAATAAATAAGTAAATAAAAAGAATCACTACCTTCATATAATTCAAAATAGCTAATTATGATGCTGCTTTAATATTACCCTAAACGTAATTAGCCGACACGGAAGCTCGATTTGCTTTCTCAAGAAACTTTAAATTTCCTCAAATTTGAAATAATTGAAATCGAAAAAGGAAATATAAATTGAAATGCATATTATTATATATTATCATTCTATATCTAGCGAACGAAATAAATAAAAGTAAAAACCATTCATACATCGTCGGTCTTAACCTCTTAAATTTTCAACTACCTAAAATCTTATCTCTAAAATGTTTCTTATTATTGAGATTTTTCAAATTATTAAACTGGTTTCTTAAATTTCTATTCTCACAAATATAATTTTCCTTACTGGTCTCTTTCAAATAATTTATTCTATTTATATCAGTAAATCTGTCGGAGTTGTTGATTGTTAAACGGCTATCAGCTAGTACAAGAGTCCTGACATCATCATTAGAATTTCTTGAACGAGAGGTCGAATTTTGTTTGTAATATCTAGCCATTGAACGATGTCCAATTTTGGATCCATTTGGTAAAGTCAATTGAGTCCCAGTTTGATCTAAAAAAGATAGAGAATTGTTGTCATCTTCAATTTCATCAAAATTTAATTCGCTATCATTATCATTTTTATTTTCATTGTTATTATCAGTACTATCATTACTGACATTATTATTACTATTGCCATTGCCATTACTGTTGTCAGTTTCATTGTCATCATCATTGCTGCTTTCATTATTATAAAATGGAGCAAATAGTTGACGATCATACTTTGAATCATAAGGAAAATAACAATGAGATTTGTCTTTCATATGAGATCTAATGCTAAATAGATTTTTACCAACAAATCCACAAATTAAACATTCTTTTTCAATTGAAATTATTTGGCTTAAAAAATAAATCAAATTTTCTAGATTTTTTAAATTTTCCAAATTTGGTATAAATAAGCCATGGTTTTTGAACATATGATTATAATTTGAACCTAAATTATCAAAAGTTTTACCACAATAAAGACAATCATTTATTGGAATTAGTTCAATTTGAGAGTTTTGCTTAAAATCGGAATCAGAATCAGAATCAGAATCAGAATCAAAATTTGAGTCGAAATTTGAATCAGTTTCTTCATTGTTGTTATGAGAAGTATAATTTGATGTGGATGAATAGCTAAAAGTATAGTTGTGGTTTAGATTTTGCATTTGATTATTTGACAAGTTATGTGAATGGTTTTCATACTCAGATAAAGAGTCATAATTCGAAGATGTAACTAAACGTAGATTTTGGTTTTGAAGTATTCTATTGTTATTGTGATTGTTATTATTATTATTATTAGCGTTATTATTATTGTTTTGAGCAGAAAAATCTGCCTCAGTTTCAGTCTCAATCTCAGTTTCAATCTCAGTGTTAATACCAGTTTCAATATCCGTATCAATATCCGTATCAATATCTGTATTTGAAGTAGGTATTATGCTGTTTGGATTACGATTGTGGTTGTTGATTTCAAGGCGATGATGGTTATCAGACAAAGAAAAAGCAGAAAATTCAGAAACAACAGTATTTGTGGGAGTTGAGTCTCTTATTACTGAAATGTTGTTGTTCATAGTATTATTGAAATGATTATTAGCCAAAAGTCTGCCTCTTGAATTTACCAATTTTGATTGTTTTTTCATTTCTTTCTTAGTTATTTGTTTATTATTGCCTGATTTCTTTTTGCTATACAATATAAAACCGTACTCGTCTTCATACTGGTTTGATTTATTATTCAAATATTTGGAGTAACTAGTATAACCTGCAATAGTGGTATTATTTGAATTATTGTAGTTAATATTACTATTGATATTATTGCTGCTGATATCATTAATATTGCAATTGATATTACTATTGATATTGAATTTTGTGATAAAGGTCTCCTGAGAAATCGAGGGTAAGTTGGCTATTCTTCTTTTCAAGTTGTACCTATGCCACTCAGACTTCATATGGAGCTTTTGCAAGTCGCTTGAAATGAACTTGATAAGACATGTATTGCAGGTGAAAAAAGTGCTACTGGGGTTGGAAGGGTGGATGACACTGTTCAAGACGTTAGACTGATTGGGATCCATGGTGAAGAACCTAGAAACAAAACAAACAAGCTGAGAAGCTTTCTTCTGAACATGTTTTCTGATAATTTCCAATCTCTGAGGCTCTTCTCCAGTATTTATTATATCCCGTCCCAAAACAGAAAGGAAAATGATTTGAAATCACACACGTGTGCCAAGGATATTCAGGCCGTATATCGCTCGGAACTTGCCGGAGCAAATTTTTCTCTGTGGCGTCGGGCCGGAAGTGGAGGTGGAGCAGAAGAAGAGAAAGAAGAACAAGAAGAAGAGGAAGATGAAACGCCATCTCCATCTCCATCTCCATTTCTCTTTCTCGTCTGCTGCTTCTGCTGTCCCTTTTAGAGCAGACCAAAGTGTTACATGTCGACTGTCCCAGCCTTGAACAATGCCCTCAGGTAAAACACACCACTCGTCTTCTCTGCCTGCTGCTTCTGCTCCATCCCAGAATAAAGCTCATTCTGCTGCCCACAGCTCGAATAGCGATGATAGGCCATTTGTCTTGATCAATAACTTGCCCACATCACTCAACGAGAGACCTGATTACACTCTATTAGATCATCCTTTGTCAATTAAAGACTCTGCCATCTTTTACAATTCATTGATCAACTCGCGATCAAACTATTTATACAACTCAAATAACTTTTTGTTCAAACTATACTGGTCAAAGAATTTTGAAAGAAAACTACTAAATAATCAGAAAAGCGATGAGAACAATCACAATGGAAATAACCATAACCAAAATAAAGAAATTAAAAAGGTCAATATAAGAGACAAAATGAACAAATTATTTGATTGCTCAATTAATTTGGGGCCTCATTGTTTTAAAATTAGACTATTCATCTTAAAAAATGACAAAGTTGAAAAAGATTTTGAAAATTCAATCTTATTGAGAAGAAAATTAAAAATGCAGAAAAAGGAATTAAAAGAACTAAAAGATCTAAAAGATCTAAAAGATCCAAGGGATTCAAAAGATTTAAATGTTTCAAAAGACTTAAAAATATCTACTCCAAATGAAATTAACAATGTAAGTAATATAAATAATATAAATAATACAAATAATATAAATAATATAAATAATAGCATTAATATTAATAAGAATAATATTAATACACTTAATACTATCAATAATAATAACATAAATAACCAAAAAAGAATCCAAGATTTGCATCAATTCAAAATTAAAGAACAAAAAATTCAATCAATTTTATCTCCCTATTCAACTAGTAATACCCATACTAATAATTACGATAGTGAAAATTCATATTCCAATTACAACACAAATTACTCTACCTCTCAAAATAATATTACAAAATTTAATAATCATAATAATCATAACACGAGTAATATAGATAATGCAAATAATACAAATAACAATTCCCCTACTTTTCCAAAACTACAAATTCCTCAGCAAAATCGTTCTCCCTCAATTCGCCCTCAAAAGCCTCTCTACGTTGATCGAAGAGTTTCGCCTCAACCAATCATTTTAAATACTCAGAATACTCAAAAAGAATTACCTCTATCTCAAAATAATTCTTCTAATCAAAAGCTCCCCATTTCATTGTTACAAAAACAAAACTCTCTTCCACAAAATCATCAAAATTTACAATCTCCATCTCAGAATAATTCATCTCCTCAAAATTCCATTTCTATTCCCAATTTTAATTCAAATACGAATACGAATTTAAATAAAAGTAAAAATACTAACAGTAATATTAATACTTTACAATCATCTTTCAATAATTTCCAAAAATCTACTGAAATTCCGTCTCAATCTACAAATATTCAATCACAAAATACTTCAAACCAATCCTCTATTACCACTTCAAATAAATCTTTAAATACATCTTCAAATGGGTTTTCTAACCCTTTAAAAAAGGAAACAAATCAACCAATACCTAATCAGCAGATATCCAATCATTCAGTGGCTAATCATTCAGCTTCTAATCAACCAACACCTACTCAACCACAGGTTAATCAACAAGCATCAAATAATCCTACAATAAATCAACCACAACCGCCTAGACCTGCTCCTTTAGTATCTTCTGCTCAAGATCGAATAATTATTCAAAATTTAAATGCAATTGCAAGGGTAGACGCAGAATTAAAACCATTAATGAAAACTGTTGCTTTAAACAAAGCTACACCTTACCAAATTAAAGTTTTTCAAGAATATATTCAAATTTCAAGAGAAATGGGTCCTGATGGCTCTAAAAATCCTAGTTTTTATTACCAAAAGGCTAGAGAGATTTATTTTCAAAAATCAAAATCTAAAGAATTAAATTTTTTAAAATTCGAACAAGATAGATTAAATGGAAAAACAGCCAATTTGAATTCTATAAATAGTTTTAATAATAATATAAACATGAATAACATGAATAACAGAAATGGATTTAATACAATTAGCAGCTACAATTATAACAATTATAATAACGGTTATAATCACAACAATACTTATAATAATAATAATAATAATAATAATAATAATAATAATAATAATAATAATAATAATAATAACAATAACAATAACAATAATAATAATAACAATAATAATAATAACCTGAATAATTATAACAGCCGTATTGGCAATAACATTAATAATAATATTAATGTGAATATGAATACGAATATGAATATGAACTATATCAACAATAGAAATAACCAAAATCAATTTATTAAAAATAAAAGAGTAGAAATAAAGCCCTTGAAGGTTCAAAAATCTAAACCAGCTAAACCTGTTAAGGTAAAACCACCAAAGGAAGAAAAGCTTACTTCATTTCAAGAAAGATATTTAAACAATGCCGATTTGGTTTTTGAATTTTTTGAAAATGCAAATTTCAGATTACATTTACCCAAAGATGCGATTGTAGAAGTGATTGGTGACTCTGAAAATGATCAAGAATTTAAAATGAGCTTTTCATATCTTTTAATTGTAGATGAAACATCTGTTGAAAATTTCAATAGAATGTGGAATGACGTTTTAGAAAAAAAAAATGATGAAAAAAAACAATTGGAGGAAAAAAAGTTGCAAGAAAAACGATTATTAGAAAAGCAATCATTAGAAAAACAGAGACTGGAGGAGACTAATAAAGTAAAAGAGACTCAAAAAATTGATCCAAGTGCTGGCACTTTGACTAAAATAGATAATGGTGAGATTAAAACTATTCAAGAAAATGATACTGGAAATGGGAAAGAAAACATTGGTGATGAAGATTCCAAACTTCCAGTGATACAAGAAGCTGATTTGAATGAAAACCAAAAGCTAGGTGATGAAACGACTGTAAAATCAGAAGTTGAAATCAAAGCTATCCCCAAACGTGCAAGAAAAAAAAGAGTGAATAGATACGGCAAAAGACGTAAAAGTTCGAGAATTGCGCAGTCATCTAAGGATCACCAGCTGGGGCAGGATATTTATATTGAAGAACACCAACTTAAGGAGGAACGAAAAAAGAAAGAGAAATTGAACAAAGAACAAAAAGAAAAAGAAGCAGCTGAAAAGAGCAAAAAAGAGAAGATCATATATACTCCCTTTACGTTTCAGGTATTAAATATTCCTAAACGGTTTGTGCCAATTCTCAAAAACAGTGTCAACAAACCTGAGGAAGTGAAGGAAAAAATGAAATTAATATTCGAAAAAGGAGTAAGAACGCCTAAATGTTACTTGTGGTATCAGATTGATGGGTTCAAAGATGAAAAATTAGGAGAAGAATTAAGGCAAAAATTAGTTCATAATAGTTTAGCGATGGCAGCTAAAATCAAAAGAGGGACTAAGAACTAAGTTGAAGATCAAGAAGCGAAAATAGCAAATTATTTTGTGTTTTATGATTTTAAATTAATAACTTTTCAATTTTGTTTTTTTCTGTATAATTTATCGTTTTTCAAATTTTTTTACAAGTTTTCTTTTTCTTCTTGTTTTTTTTTTTGTTTTTGATTCGACTAAACATTGTATTATAATATAATTAGTTGTTAAAACTAGTTGGGTATGAAATTTAATTTGATGAATTTTTTTTCAATTTTATGAACAATCTTAATAAACAAATTTATAAGTGCGCAATTGCAGAAATGGAGGATTGAGCCGATTCATTAGGCAAGGTGATTTGAAATAAATTAAAAAGCTTGAGTGTAAATGTGAGGAGGTAAGTATATAATCAAGAGCTATATTGAAAATGGAAACCAATTTGAGCGATTTCTGGCAAGGTAAAAGCAGAGTTATTTGTATTAGTATTTATAGTATTAGTGGTATTAGTGGTATCACTAGTATTTGATTTAAGCAGGATATTTGCTTGAGTGAGAACATTATTATTTACAGGAGAGGTGAGCGAGTTTGAATAATTTGATTTACAAGGAATGAAGTTTTTAATGCTGATACCAAACTCAAATAAGAAATCTTTAAATTTACCTTCGTATAGCAAATTCAAGTTTCTGTCATTTAGACTTGTAGATAATTTTAGCAATTGTGAGAATTTCAAGTTTGAAAAGACGTTTTTGAAATTGGAAATATTTCTCTCAGTAAATGATTTATACTCGTTATTTGAGTCAAAGGTATTAGTATAAGTAGGTTGAGAATTTTTATCTGGGGAGTTGAGTAGTATTTTGTCAACTTCGTTTGATATGTTGCCATCGTATTTCCACAATTCGCAACCAAGAGATAGATTGCTTTCATAGGAGTAGACATTAAAATCAAATTTAGAAGAAAAAGTTGAGTTTAAGGAGGTCTTTACGGTGTAGGAGGACGTTAGATGGCCAATAATGGGGTTGCAGGTTAAAGTCATAGTCAAAGGTTTTCCAGTGTAGGTTGAGTATGTGGTGTAACGTAAAGAAGAGGATAAACCTGGGGACATGTTCAAAATACCATACCATAATTCAGCGCCCATTGAGAACTTGGAATGGTTGTAGAACTTGTTGTGAGAGTCATTTAGATGATTAAATTCATTGATTAGCAGTTCTGAATTATTGAAGGCAGTATTTTGGTTTTGAATTCTCTTTTGAATTCTCTTTTGATTAGCGTCTTTGAAATAAGTGGAACCAAAATTGTACAAAAACCGTAAACCAATCAAGCTTTCGTTAGTAGAGTAAATTAGTTCTCTAGAATACTTCAAGGCGTTTTGCTGTAAGTACAAGGTCATGATGCCATTGTTCTTGAGGTTTTTGCTGCTCAAGCATTTGACTAGCAACTTTGTGTTGGAGGAGAACTTTTTGATGAATAGGGTTTCCAAGATGTTTCCAGGAAAGTACAATTTGCCATAGAGAAGCATTGGGTTCCTGTTTGAAGCAACGGAAGCAGTGTGGTCGGCGAGTTGTTTGTTCAACTGGTGCAAGGGCTGGATGAACTTGTAGTTCTGGATGGCGTCCTGCAACAAGACACCCTTGGAGCTGGCCACATTGTGCAAGTCGATGGAGGAGTATAGATAGGACAAGGAGCCATTGATGTAGTTGAAGTTGGAGAGGCCGAGCGAATTGGCAAAGTTGGGGCTGGACAAGGAGGAAATGCTGAACTTCAAGCCCTGGGGGAGCTTGAAGTCTATCAAGACGTCGGAGGAGGAGGTGATGCTGGGATACAAGTTATCCTCGTCCCACGCCACCGACGAGTCAAAGCAGCGCGTAACATATTCCATGTAGCCGAACATTTGCAGCTGAACATTGAAAGCTGCATTGATGGTGCTTTCTTTCATCGCTGCAAACGCGATTATATCGTCGTCCCAATCGGGAAGCAGCCACAAGCACGCTTGGACCCACCGCGCTGGGCTGTGGATTAGGGGCTTTTGCGCTTTTCTTCAGCTTCACACCAAAGCACCACAAACAGCACAAACAGCACAAACAGCGCAAACATCACCATGAGCAGCATCTTCAACAGCGTCAAAAAGGCTACCTCGCTCGAGGAGTCGGCGCCCAAAAGGAAGCACGTCAGAAACTGCATTGTCTACAGCTGGGACCACAAGGACTCCAAGGTCTTCTGGGACGACTTGCGACGACTCCCCATTTTGAACGATGAGGTCCAATCGTTTAAGGCCTTGATCCTCATCCACAAATTGCTCCAGGAGGGCCATCCAGTCTGTCTTAGAGACGCCTTGAGAAACATCAACTGGATTGATTCAGTGGGCAAGATTTATGGCAACACTGGCGATGGAATCAAGGGCTACGGTCGCTTGTTGAGGGAATATGTCGTGTTTTTGTTGAAGAAATTGAACTTCCACAAGATGTACAAGTCTTTCAATGGGGTCTTTGAGTACGAGGACTACATCTCTTTGCAAACCGTCAGCGATCCTAACGAGGGCTACGAGGCAATCTTGGAGTTGATGAATCTACAGGACTCAATTGACGATTTTCAGAAACTAATCTTTGCCAGCATCTCCGATAACAAGAGATCAGAATGCAAAATTAGTGCCTTGGTTCCTTTGCTAACCGAATCCTACGGTATCTACAAGTTTGTTACTTCAATGCTTAGGGCACTCTACAAAAGCTCAGATTCCTACGAGGCATTGCAACCCTTGAAAGCCAGATACGCCCAACAACACTCCAGGTTGTATGAATTTTATGCTGATTGCATGGCTATCCGCTACTTGAGCTCCATAGTCACAGTCCCCAAGTTGAAATTCGATCCTCCAAGCATAGCTGAACCAAATAACGATTCAAGTCTAAACCTACCTCCAATTAGAGAAAAGACCCCCTCTCCAACAGTATCTTCCACTCCCCAACCTCCATCTCCAGAACCTCAAAATTCCATCTTTGATGCTCAAAAATCAAGAGGCTTTGATGATGGTGCTGATGACAACGACATTTTTCCAAATGTTCAATCAAATTTCGCCAGCATTTTTACAGCTCCAGAACCAATCCAAATTCAACCAATCCAACCAATTCAAACCGTCCAGCCAGTCATTGATCAACAACAACAGTACCAGCTCGTAGCTTCACAGCAAAGAATAATTGATCTAGAATCACAACTATTCTCCATACAACAAAGATTCCAAGCTGACCAACTAATGCTACAACAATATGACTCAAAAGTTAAAGACTTGGAAAGTCAACTCCAACTAGCATCTGACTACTCTTCAAAAACAAATAACGACAACTCCCAACTAATTGCAAATATGAACAACCAATTGTCAATTTGGAAGAAAAAATATGACTCCCTTGCAAAGTTATACTCAGAACTAAGAGAAGAACACTTGAAACTATTGTCCCAATTCAAAATCTTGCAAAAGAAAGCCGCCTCTGCTCAAGAAATTATAAATAAATCAAATAAATTAGAAAAAGATTTAGCCGCAAAAAACATAGAACTTGCCAACCTAATCAAACAAAGAGACGCCGCTAGAGTTGAACTTAGCAGAGTTAAAAATGACAACAACAACACTAGAAATAACCCAACCATTTTGTCCCTAGATAATGAAGTCAATTCCCTAAAGGAACAATTAATCGAAGAATCCGACAGATCCAACCAATACTTGATTGAAATTCATAATTATAAAGACCAAATTGATGCTCTACAAAATAAACTAAACTCAATCGACGAACAATCCCTCAAATCAAGATTACTAGAAAAAGAAGACGATGTATTAATCCTACAACAATCCGTTGACGACACTTTGAACAAATTAGCCGAACTCCAAGATGAACATGAAATTCAACTAATTGCAATGGTAGATGAACAACTACATAAAGTTGGCGATATCATCGACATTGTACTAAGCACCGCTATTGAAAATATTAGAAATGAAATCTTTGAATTGGATTCTCCTACTCCTGCAAAGCAAATTTCAACTCCATCCTATGCTTTATCTGTTTTAGAAAAATCCTCTTCCTCACTAAATGATTTTACAACTCTATTTAATGATTTCTTAATTGATGGAGCAAACGGCGATCCCTCAGCAATTGTAATTTCAATTTATGATTTTTTCAATTCAATTTCAACTGTTATATCCACAGGAAAGAGCATTATCACCTTGACCAACGAAAAGGACTTGGGCCAAAATTTGTTTGACGATTATAAATACGTAGGGCAAGTTGTTATTGATTTTTTAGAAAGTGTTAAATTGTCAGAACTAAGATTGTTAGAGACTGAAGAAGACAAGGCTGATAAAGTCATTGATGGCAATTTTTCAGTTAACAAAGCAATAAAAGATTTGGAAGATAGTCTTGATAAATTAACTCCCAAATTAAAAATGCCTGAAAACCTTGATGAATTGGTTGATCAAAAGATTAATGATGCTGTCAACTCTGTTATTGAAGGCTCAAAATTTTTAAATAAAATTATTGAAAACCCCGATAAATTAAAAGTTTCTTCTGTTGATATTCAAGTTAGTAAAGCAATTTTATCATCAACCATTTTTTTAACTGATGCAATTAGTGCTTTATTACAAGCTGCTGCAAGATGTCAAGATGAAATTGCAAGCTCTGGAAAATACAAATCAAGAAATGAATTTTATAAGAAAAACAATAAATGGACACAAGGGTTAATATCAGCAGCTAACTCAGTTGCTACATCGACTAGTTATTTAATTAAAACTGCAGATGGTTTGATTAATAATTCAAACTCGTTTGAAGAATTGATTGTGGCATCAAATGGTGTGGTGTCTTCTACTGTTCAGTTAGTGGCTTCGTCGAAAGTTCGAATTGCACAAATGTCTAAATCTCAAGATGATTTGGAACAAGCCGGTACTAAAGTTAACAGTGCTTCAAAGGCCTTGGTTAATAAAGTAAAGAGTTTATTAGGGTCTCAAGAACCCAAGGATAATGTTGACTATTCTAAATTCTCAGGACATCAATTAAAGACGACCGAAATGGAACAACAAATCGAGATATTGAAACTTGAAAATGCACTCGATAATGCAAGGAAGAAATTAGGTCAAATCAGAATTTATTCGTATCATGATGATTCTGATGAAGAATAGTTTAGCGAGTATTATTGATAGTTACAAGCTAGCTATATATAATATCATCTTTTTTGTTTTTGTAGTTGTTTTATTTAGCTATTATTAGTTATAAGTTTAAAAATTTTTTTAATCAGTTTTTAATTTTTGTTTTATTTTTAATTTTTGATTTAATTTTAGTTTTATGTAGTTTTATATTTTATAATAAAAACGTTAAAAATAGAATTTTTTTTGTATTATTTTATTATTTTAGTTTTCTATTATTTTAAAATAGTATAGTATAAATACTGATGATATAATATTTGATGGTTGAATGGAGAATATTAAAATTAAATTAAATTAGATAAGAATTATATAAATCTGAGTAAAAAGATCAATAAGAATGATTTTATTTAAAAGAATACAAATGCCCAGCATTTCAAGAGAAAAAAAAACCCAAATTTTAAGAAAGATTGAAAAGAGTGATTGAAAAAATAAAATCAAGTAAAGTAGAGTAAAGTTAATTAGAGTAAAATGAGTACAAAGTAGTTTTATGAGAAAAAGGAGACTATATTATAATAAAGATATTTCAATGAGATTAGTGAGATTGTTTATTTCCAAAGAATTTTTTTGAGATTTCATAGGTCGAAATCATTATAGCACAGGAGGGAGCAATTTTGAGAACTCTGGGAATTAAACCTATGTATAAGGCTGAAAAACCTTCATCCTTAACGATATTGGATAGGTATTTGAACATGGATTCCTTTTTTAGGATTATATTTGGATTTTGGTATTTTCGAACAAGCGGATTTGTTGAGTTTTTCAGGTTAAAGTCTTCATCGACTGAGACTTGTAATCTTGTTTTACCAACATCAAATGGGTTTGTGAAAAAAGCAGCTATTGTTCCTGAGATTGAGCCACATAAAAAGGATCTGATAAAGACAGTTTCATTGGTATCGTTTTTCTTAAAATAGTCTAAATTGGACAATCTTTTTTTTGAAAATTCATAGGAAAACCAGTAGACAGCACTGAATGGGACGTCTCTGAATAAAGTCAATTCCAAACCTCTGAATAGAGATTTTATTCCGTTTTTTTGAACCGAGGAGTAAGTGTCGCTTAATAAGTCTTTCAATAGGTTGTTATTGACTGCAGATTGATTTGAACGGGAGGGTATAGCCTGCAATTTTGTTTTTAGCAATTCCATTGGACTTATTATTGATACAGCTAAAGTTCTTGCAAAAGCACCGGATATAAGAGGATTTATGGATGGGTAGCGATCTTTGAGAGGAGAGTGATCTCTCAAGTATTCGTAGCCAGTGAAATAGATGATATTTGCAGGAACCGATATGATTAGAGCCAAAGAGATGCCTCTCCAGAGCGATAGCAACCCTTCGTTTTTGTAGATGTAATTGAAAGCATCGAATGTGCCATTCAATTTCGACTGTCTCACCGCAAAGTAGCTCGAGCAATAGTCCTTTATGGAGGAATTGGAGGACTGCCAGAACAATGTTTTGTGTTGGCAGCAGACGTGCTTGGGCAAACCACAGTCCACTAGGGCAGATAAGGAGATGAGATGCTGCTGTTGCAATCTGATTCTCACGACATCAAATGGAGTTAGGATCATACAGGTCAATAGAGAGCCAGTGCAGGCACTGAGCATTCGCTGGGAGACAGTTAGAGTGGGAGAGACAGAGGGAGTGTCTTGTTTCAACGCAGGCAATAGGTCTTTCTTGTAGTCCAACATCGTTAACGACTGGCGGAGTATCTGGTAGTGTGGTGTCTGATAGCGTTTTGGGCAGAGGAAGAAGATCGAGAATAGCACAGACTAGAGATGTTTGAGATGTGAAAAGCTCGCGAAGAGCTCTTTATATACAGGAACCAGTGCGGCGGAACGAAGCCCGGCGCGACCACCGCTGCGGGAGCGGGGGGTCAAATAAGTCCAAAGAGGTTGGTTATCGAAGAGGTTGAAGAAGTGAGCAGATAAGGAGATGTTGGAGTGAAGTGAAGGAGTGCTGTTCAGGCTCAATTGGACTCTGAGGCAGCAGCCTGGGAGGCGTTTATCGCTAGCAACAACTGTCCCATCTCGAGCACCTGTTGGTCGTCGCCAAACTGGCCCACCACCTGGATTCCTATGGGCATCTGGTTGGCTGCTGACTTCCATGGCACCACAATGGTTGGCAAGCCAGCAAGAGAAGCTGGCACTGTTAGCACGTCGTCGATGTACGAGTTCAACGAGCTTTCGCTGTCCTTCCTCAAGAAGTCCTCAAGCGTAGGAGCTGTTGATGTCGAAACTGGAAACATCAAGACGTCAATTTTATTATTGTTGGCTTTGTTTTCCCGTAATTGCTCTTTGCTCTCTTCTTCGGTGCTTGATAGCACATTTGGCACTTTGAACACTGAGTTGAACTGATTGATTAGTGATTTTCTCACCATGTTAGCTTTCAAGTAATTATTCTTAAAAGAGTCTGACGAAAGATTATATGTGCCTAGCAAGATTCTCTTTTGCACCTCCTTGCCAAATCCTTCACTTCTGGTTTCGGAAAATGGCCCAAACTCATCTTTTTTCTGGCTGGAGTCACTTCCATGACTTGCTTCACTGCTCTTTGAATGAAACCCATATCTCACTCCATCATATCTAGCTAGATTCGATGAGGCTTCTGCTAACGCTAGAGTATAATAAACAGGCAATGAATTTTTAATTGAAGGTAGGGAAACAGGCCTGATAGTGTGGTTGATATTAAATAATGCTTCAATAGCTTCATTAAATGACCTTGATACCTCCTCTGAAATGCCTTCGACATTTGTCTCTTGAATCAATCCAATACTCAATTTCTCATCTCTTTTTTTGGTTATCTCTTCAATTCTTTTTCTTAAATTATTCGATAACGATGTGGGATCTTTGGGATCATATTGGTTCAACTGTTCATATATGTCCTCGATTATCTTAATATCCTTCGACAATATCCCAACTGTATCAAAACTTTGAGCATACGCTATGACCCCCCATCTTGATATCCTGCCATAAGATGGCTTGAACCCAATTATCCCACAATAATGTGCAGGTAATCTAATTGATCCTCCGGTATCTGTCCCAATTGAATAATCACAAACATCGTCTGTAACAATACTGGCTGCTCCACCAGAGGAACCACCTGTTATATGCGCTTGGTTTTTATATAGTGGGTTTGTAGTAGGTTCAAATATACTATTGGTGGTTCCAGATCCCATTCCAAATTGATCAAGGTTACTTTTTCCTATAACTATCGATTTCGTGAAGTTCTGCGAATCTTTCTGCGATCCCTTATTTGATCCTTCTAATATCGACACAACCGTAGCCTGAAATGGTGAAACATAGTTCTCCAATATCTTTGAACCGCAAGTCGTTGCCTCCTCTGTAGTTACAATATTATCCTTGATTGAACATAAATAAGGAACTATCTTATTCTTTTGAAAATAATTTGTTGTTCTTTCTTTAAGCACATTTTCATCTCGAACCGATATCAATGAATTATATAGACTATTAGAATGTTTTATCCTATCTATTCTTGCCAAAATAGGTTTCAAGTTATTTGGAATTGACATTTTCATTTACTCACTGATTCATTCTATAACTATTCCTAATATATAGCATAAATTATCTCAATCCTGTCCAAACTTTTCAACCGAATCGAAAACCCAAATCCACGCTTCAATTCGCTCACGCCGGGTTTTACTCTTACGCCGAAAATTAACTGGCCATCTCTTCTTGAACTATCTTTCATCAAGATACTCTTCCTCAAACACTAATAACTAAATGCAATACTCTTTAGATTCTACGATAAATCAAGTGCAGACACTGAAACAAATAAATAAATTAATTAATTGATAAAAAATTAGTTCATCAACTCTAAAAGAGAAACAAGAAAGATAAAAAAGAATAGCTGATAAAATCAAGTCTAGCAATTACAATGAATGATTGACTATTAATGAATATTTGTGAAATCGGTTAAATGATAACACCACTGGCTTATAGTTAATAAATAAATAAATAAATAAATAAATAAATAAAATAGATAGATAGATATAAAAACCATAGAAATATTAAAATTAAATCATTATTATCATTATCATTATCATTATCATTTTGATTACCAGCTGATGGTTATAACTAAACTAAACATGCACTAGCGTTTGAGTTTCACCACACCTATAGATATCCTATAGATATCCTATAGATATCCTATAGATATGCAACAAAGGCCCTTTTAACGTTGCTCACCCAACCTTTGACTGACTCTGTAATCGATGACAACTTTGGAGGAGGAATTGCAAAGGTGACGCTGGCTGTGAGACAGGTAATATACTCGTCTTCGTCTGTGAACGCTTGAGCCTTCACTGTGTACTTGCCTGGGGGAATTTCCTTTGGCAACTCCACCACCTTCTTGATGGTCCGAGGGCCCTTGGTGATGGGACAGCTCATATCAACGTTTTCAATCTGCTCACACAAGTCAAATTCCTGGTTGACCAACTTCACATAACCGTATCTGACCTCAACAGCAACATAGGCACCGTCGGTGATGTCCTCCTTGAGAAAGCCAGTGGCCTCGATGGTTAAGTTGCTGCCTGCCTCTGGAGGGTTGGGTGTGATGGTCAACGAGTTGATGGTCAAGAGCTGGGGCTCGTAGGTATCGCAGATGGCACAGGGGTTGTCTCCTGGAATGGGTTTGGTACCTGGAGGCCCAGGAAATTGAAGAGAAAGCTCGTCTGTGAAAACAGGCAAAGAAAAGACACCTGTGGAGCCTAGCAAAGAAAGAGCTGCTAACTGTCTGAGTGACACCATGTCTGGAGTGGTTCTGTAGTAGTTCTGTAGCCCTTAAGGGGTTGGTTTGAGGAACAGAAGAACTATGGTCTGAGATGAGCAAGCTCAAGAACGACCCCATTTATATTGTTATCTTTTGGTGTTTTGGGCGAGAGTGCAAAGTTGCTACGGCCAGTCCCTCTGAACCCAGTGAGGGGCGTTTAGCATCGGGGTGTTCGTGGGCGGAAAGAGTGTGCGAAATAAAATCAGAATTGAAAGTGTATGAAGAGGTTATATAGTTAAATATTTAATGATGCTGTTTGCTCATCCACGAATGGTCAAGTCATCTGGAATACCGTCATACTCGCCATATCTCAATGCTAAGTTGATGTTTTGTAAGCACTGGGTAGAAGCTCCCTTTAAGAGGTTATCGATGGTAGCAACAATAACAACTCTGTTTTGCTTAGAGTTCACTGCAAATCCACCAACAACAACACCATGTTTGCCGCTTATGTCTTTGACATATGGGGCTTCTCCACTGACTGTCACTAACTGTTCATCTTGATATGTATCTTGGTACAAGTTTCTGATATCTCTAGCTGTTAGTTTGGCGTTCAATGGAATAGAGATGGTCAAAGTTATACCTTGATACCATTGGGCAACATGGGGGATGAAACCAACATCGATGCCTAATTGAGATGAAATTTCTTTTTCATGAACATGATCTGTTAGTGAGTAAGGAATTAAATTATTGCTTAAAAATTTAACATCATTCTTGATAGATGGTTTTGTACCTGCTCCTGAATAACCGGAAACACCGAAAATTGTTGGCACTTGATTTCTGTCAATATAATTTAGTAATGGCTTAATTGCTACTTGAGCACAAGTAGCGTAACAACCTGGGTTACTAATTTTTTTAGCATTTGCGATCTTGGAACGATCATTTAATTCTGGCAATCCATAAACCCATTCACCACTGGTATCGAATCTATAATCGGCTGATAAATCAATAATTTTGGATTTCCCATTGTTAATGGTTTCAATTGCTTGAACAAATGGCTTACAAACGCCATTTGGCAATGCCATAACCCACATATCGATTTTCTTTTCGTTTTCAATTTTTTTAATATCATCAATTTTCAAATTAGAGTATAAGATGTTTTGTTTGTCATATCCCTCAACTAGTTTACCATCCAATTCTCTTGATGAAACATATGATATCTCTAAAAATGGATGTTTGTTGACCATTGAAATCAAATTTTGGGCAGTGAATCCACGAGCTCCAATGATGCCAATACTCGAAGGGGTATTATTCTCATGTTTAGTTAATGGGGAAGTCTTTTCAAATCCAAATTTTAATGAACCTGAAGATGTTGCAGATGTGTTATATTTCGGTGAGTTTGTTGAAAAATTTCTTTTAAATGATAAGGTGGAAATTTTTCTACTTTGAGTAACGTTTTTAAAGATTGCTGAGCCACCATTGGATTCATTTGAATTATTGTTTGATTTTTTACTGTTTTCAATTATGGGAATTGATGAAACTTTATTTGAAAAATTATCAATTAATCTGGTGATCTTAGCTGGTTCGTCAATACCGTACCAATATAAAATATAGCCGTTCTTATGGTATGATCCTTGAGATTTAGTAAAGTGCCAACCATTATTTGGATCGTCTTCTTTGATAATCCACTGTAAAGATGGGTAATCTAATTTAATTTGAGTAAAAATATTATCTGTGACATTATTTAACCAGCCATTTTTGGAAGCTAAAAATTTATCTAAAATTGGTATATTATCATTATTTTTGATAATTGCCAAAACATCCAATGGTTCATCACCATAAGCAGTGAATTTAGAGTTTTCCAAGTCTCTTAAATAATACGCAACTGAAATTTTACCAGATTTAATGTCATCATCTCTTAATAGGACATTTCTTAACAAATCGATATTTTCAAATTGGCTTAAATTGTTCTTGGTTATTAATTTATAACCTCTTCTGATTAAAGTGCCAGCACCGCTATCAGTGAATAACTCCTTTTGTAAATCATCCACATTAATAATGGCTACAGAAGAGGACCTTGGAAGGTGGGTTAATAATTCTTTAATTTCTTTGATTTTTAATTTAGTACCGTATTTGACCCAGGATTCTTTCAATAAAGATTCATATTCTTGGTCTAGATTGATTATTGAAATCTTTTCTCCAGTGTTTCCGTTAATGATTCCACCTTTTTCATTTAGATAAACAATTTTCAAAGGTTCAAAAACCCTCGCCAACTCGCCGGCAGCAACATCGGCGTTGACATTTAAAATTTGACCCGAAGAAGTTTCAGCCAATGAAGTCAATATAGGTAAACAACCAGCTTTGATGGAGGCCTCAATTGATTGTTTATTAACGGATTTAATCAGCCCAACGAGTTTATATTTTTTTTCATCCAAGTAGTCAGCATTAAATACACCAGAAGTTATTGGTCTTGCTCTTACCCCCATTTTTTCTAAGGCTGAGACTAATTTTAAATTTTGTTCCATAAAGCAATTTCTAACAATGCTCATGGTTTTAGGATCAGTTATTCTGATTCCATCAATGTAATCTGGCTCGATATTTTCATTTTCCAAAAACTGATTGACCTGTGGTCCAGTGCCATGCAAAACTATTGGAAATAAACCAACATGGTATAGAAAGGCTAAACAGGAAGCTAGTTCATTCAATTGGTCACTAATAATTGCACCGCCGACTTTTATAATAGCAAATTGTTGGGACGAAACAGAAGTAAAATATTTCAAATATTGTTCAACCTCACGTTTTGAGCCAATGTTGTTTAGTAATTGAATAACAGTAGATCGGGTAGAATTTCTGATGGAAGTGGAGGTGAAAGAACGATAGTTGGTCGTGAAGCTAGAGGTATTATTTATGAAACGGTTATTTTTATTAATTGTTTGAGAAAGATTCGTGGTAACCAACTTTGTTGCTAGAAACTTGGAGGACAAGTTCAATAAAGAAGATTTAGAAACAGATGAGTTGATGGCAGTTCTGATCATTTCCATAAGCTTTCAATTGATGTCTCACAGTTGTATATGGCCAGAAACTTGTAGCAACTGAACCAAATAAGAGAAAACGATATATATAGCGGCTAATATAGCAACGTTGAGTATCGATTTTGTCAAAAGAATGGAGACTCGAATCTCTAGATTGCTGGTAGGTGATGAGTTGAGATATAAATGGCAGAGTGGTGTTGCAAGTGAAAGCTTTGTTGGTGAGTCAAACAAAACAATCCCATATATCGCTGTTCCCGGCCTGTGATTGGCCCACCAAAAGTGGAAGAAAAAGCTGGAAAGACTACCGAAAGACAGTCATTCACGTGAGATCCGGCTCAAGACCTTGGTGACGCATTGATGGTTATTTTCGTAATATCACTAATACATAAAGTTGGTTAATCAATTTAGAATAGTACGAATTATAATATAATTATTCAATTAAGAGGATTGAAATTTTAGATATGTTAATATGTTTTAAGCAAATGATATTTTCAAAAATTCACATCCAATAATTAGGAAATCCAGATTATATTTATCAATCTAGAATATATGGACTTATCACAGAATCGAAATATTGAGAAGGTTGAAAATTTAGATAAACTGCCTAGTTTAGGATTTTTAAATTTATCATTTTATAAAATCAGAAGCTTTGATAATTTAGAAAGTTTAGCTAAACTTACTAAATAATGTTATTTCTAAAACATCAAATATGAAAAAACTAGCAAGTGCATAACTTCTAAATTTGAAGAATAATATTATTGATGAAAATATAATGAAAAATGTTGAACTAAAACAGCACAAATTTAGTTCAGATTTGTTTGATAATAAACCACAAATAAAATAGTTTGAAAACATCAGAAACCCACTAGACTAGTTGAAAGGCTATTTGAGATCAAAGAGACAGCATAATTAATTTTATAATTTTGTCTCGTTTGGTAATTTCAACATTGAAAACCAGCACAGTTGGTTTTAGTTTTGTTTGTCAGTAGTGATAGATATTATTAATGATGAAGAATTATTTAATTTGAAAAATCATCATAATCCACAATTGGATTGAGTGAGATTGGAATTGAATGATAAAAGCAACCATTGATAATACGATGGCAGGATGATTAACTATAGTTGTCTATTTGTACTGCTTTCTGAATGGATAGGTTAATGATTTACTCATTCTACTGCTGCAGTATCATGACAATGTGATATTACATTTGGACATTTTATATATATTTCCATAATGGCGCCGAAAATTTAATAATGGCACTGTTTTTGGATTTTGTGGTTATCAAATTCAAGAAGTTTCAATTATAAGCCTTTACTAAAACACTGCTATTCAAAAGCTTCCCAATGTGACAATGATGCTCTTTCTGATTAGGCTGTTGATCATTTGATTAACCCAATAATAGTAATAGAAATAACAACAAAGCTTAACAAAAAACACAAATCAAATCTGATAGACTGAGAAGCAATCACATTACAACCAAGTTATTTATAGTGCTAATACAAAAGTCCATGATGTTCGAGCTATGATGCCAATGCCAAAATTTTAAGTGCTTTTTTAAGGCTTTGGTTTATTTTGCTGAATTTTAAAAATATAAAAAATACTTATTATGATAAAAAAAAATTCATCTTGTTATTCTCGGATAAATGAGGCAGCAAAAAATCCAATACCACCATCCAATTTTGGCAAACTTCTTACACAACCAGCAGCTAGGTCTTCACTATCTTGAATTGAATAGCCCTTTTTAATAAATTCTTTTTTCCAACCTCTTCTTTTCCATTGTGGTATAACTTCATCTTTTGAGCAAAGTCTCCAATTTTTAGATTTTATTTCAAAGTCATTCAATAAGTCGATGACGACTTGTTCGTTCTCCTCAGGATGAATTGAGCATGTTGAATAAACCACTTTTTTGACATTTGGAAAGAGAAGGCCAAATTTAACAATGCTAAATTGGAATGATGATAGTTTTTCAATTCTCCCAATGTCAATTTTTTTTTTTAACGATAATTCCTCTTCAATATCTAGGTCTTTATCAGTATTTTCATCCTTACTTACCTTGTTAGCGATTACTTGTTTACTATTTTTCTGAAGAATCATGTCGTCAACAGCTCGTCGAAAAATACCACTTCCTGAACACGAAGGGTCAATGATCATCTTTGTGACATTTTGGTAATCATTTTTTTTGCATCTTGTAAAATCTCCGATTTTGACATTCACACAATCCTTAGCACCTGCTTTGTTAATCATTTTTTTTAAAATTTCACCTCTTTTTTCATTCTTTTCAAAAGCAATAATCCCATTTGTTTTATTGTCAATTAACATAGCCAAATGGCTTGTTTTATTTCCTGGGGCTGCGCATGCATCAATTATTACATCTTCATCAGCTTTTGGATTCAAAATATAGGCAGGGAAACAAGAGGACCGATCTTGAAGAATGATTTTTCCACTTTTATAAACGTTTGTGTTGGTGATTTTTTCCCGAGGATTGATGCCAAACAAATTGGGGATATATTCATCGTGATAGATATTTCCTAGACAATTGAACAAATCTTCTATTGTGTGAACTTGCTTCAAATTTTTGAAAAATGGATCCTTCTTCAAAACACTTTCAGCCTTGACCTTTATTGTATTTATTCTAAACCAGCGAACTGGTGTGCTATCTTCGTTATAATCGCTGTTATTTTCTTGATCTTGATTGACCGGAAATTCAGTGATGCTTTTGACTTTATATTTCAACTTCAACTTGATAAACTCTGAATTGAGTCTTGTTTTATTAGCTAGTACAAAATCCTTGATTGGGTGCTTCGCTGATTGTATTCTACCCTGTTTAGTGAACAACAAATCATGAACTAATAGAATTAGCAAATCTTTGGTTAGCTTTTTAGGTATTTTGCTCTTGCTGTTCCCACCCTGCTTCAATATACCTGATTTTTTGATTATCTCTTTTAGATAATCAGTATACTTCAAGGTCGATATTACCAATGCATAGACCTGTTTAGGATTGCTTCGGATCTTTTTGCTTCCTGCATCTTCAAATATCCTGGAAATCAAAGAGCCTTCCAGACTGGGCTTCATAAACCTCTCGGCTTCGAAATAAATCAACATTCTTATGTTGGTTCCTTTATTTCTTCTCCCAACTCCCCATCATTCCTTCTCTATATTGAAAAATATTCTTCCTGCACGTATTGCAGATAAACGTGTGACATGCATGAATAAGGGTAACGTTTCGTTGTCCGTGAAGAAATCCGGTGAGAAAATCCGCTAGCAGCCGGTGGCTGGAAGAGTGGGCGATGCAAATGATTATAATGGTGCTCATATTATCGGATTGAGTATAAAGCCCTGCTTGAGGTAACTTATTTTGGTATTCTGAAGTTTCTCGATAAAAACCGGTGAAACAACAATTGCCAGCTCAAGAAAGCTCTTTGATAACTAAAGTCTCTGGGTGAGCAAGGCACCACAAGAGGTGCAGATAGTAGAAGGAATTTGGTGCTACACGATTCAAAATTGAGTGTTGAATGAAAATTCAATAAATTGCTTATCAATGAGTGTGATTTTTATGTTGGGCAAATTTTCAATATTTTATTAATTCTGAGATATTGTGATTCGTTCTGAATTTTTATTGACTGATTACAGGCTTGTTTTATTTCTGAGCAATCTTTCAATTGGACAATAATTTTTAATATTGTAATGGAATTATAAGATAGGTCCACTGACTTTAAATTACTTGAATACTTTCCGTTGTCCGGAATCTTCATCTCATTGATTTTGTTGGTACATAAATTAATTTTGTGTATATTAACCAACTTTTCAATGTTTTTAACTTTCGCAATATTATTGCTGAATAGATCAAGATCAATCAAGCATATCACATGGTCCAGATTTTCAATTTTCTCGATTTTATTCTCTAATAGATTTAAGTCTCTCGAATACATTGTATTATGTATATTTTGGATTTTTTTAATATAATTTCCTGATAAATCAACTGTTGTTAAATTGGGAAATGCGGTAGGAAAGTTTCCTATTTCTGAAATACAAATTTTTTTAGAAGTAATGTCTTTGGGTGGCTGGATTTTTAAAGCGGTTATTAATGTTTAGTATCAAGTCATTTGATACATCCAAAGTTTTTAAATTCGACAATTGGTTTATATTTCTGATACATCTAATACAGTTATGCCCCAAATAAAGCATCTTCAATGTTTTTAATTTGGCTATATTATTAAATTCAATGATTATATTTCGTTTTACATTTGAACTAACCAACTCTTTTGGAAACGAAAAATTAATATTTTCCATCGCATTATCAGAAAAATCTAAATACTTAATTTTTAGAAAATTTTATTCTATTTAAATTGGAAAAACAGTTAAATTTCAATTTGAGCCTTGTTAAGTTCAATTGACTTTCACCCATATTTTTTTTTAATAAATTCATTCTAATCAATTGCAAATGTTTTAAGCTAAACATATTAAAAAACTGATTGGGAGAAAAAATGATTGAATATCAAACTTGAAGTTCTCGAGATATTTCGAAGTCGGTTCGTTACTCGATTGATTTATTATCGTTTCAATGTTCTGCCTAATATTGTAAAAGTTAGGATCAATGTATGATTGGTGCTAATAAAATACTGTTTGAAATATAAATAGGAAGCAAATAAATAAACCGGAATTCTTTATATTAAAGCTTCAAGACAAATAGATTCTCCTTCATCAACCTGATTTTTTGCTGATGATTAGGGAGCTTGGTTTGGTATGATTATGAAATGAGACATGAATATCACGTTGACAGATTTGCTAAGTGAAGCAAGTCGAAGCGTGGTGTTGATTGGACTCACGTGAGGCAATGCATGCTCATGGGTATGCATACGTATGTATCTGCAGCTCTTCATCCGGGCTCATCACCGCACAACCACTATTGTCAATAAGAGATAGAATCACTGGTAGATCACAAATCAATGGTACACTCTCTGTCTGGTGCTTGCAATAACATTTTCGATGCAGGTTACAATTGCAACTGATTTGGTTTTGAAATTCCACAATGACTCATAAATATTTGTAAACATTCATAGTCACTGAAACAAATCCAGTAAAATCCAGTAAAATCCAGTTACTTTTCAGTCTTGATTATTTTCTTGCCTCTATTATTATACATTTCACTGATCAAGCAGCAGTAGCAAACCACCTTAATCAAATACACTAGTGCTTAATTCTCTCTTACCGTTTGCTGCAATTTGTTTCCAGAAACCGCCATCGTGAGAATACCAACGATTCAACAGCCATTCCAACTCTCAACATGTTCTTGCCAAAATATATGTACTTGATCTAATTGAACGAAATAATGAGGGCAATATAAACCAATTCAGCACAATTGTTGGTGTTTATATATTTATCTTTCTGGATTGCACCCTCTATTACAATAGTATTTTATTTTGGTGTGTCACTTTTGAAATAACACCACTTGAATAATAAACGCCAGCACCAATCTTTTCTGAATTACCAACCAACAGTGAATAATAACTGGGCACTTATCTTTTGTTTTGCAACTACACGATTTCTCTTTCTCAAATTTTCAAATGGAAAGAACACAAAAAACAGAAACACATGATATTAAAATATAGACAGTAAAATAAAATCGCCACCAGAAAAAAAAAGCGAAAAAGTGAAGAAGTGAAAATTACCGAGATAATGGCTGAAAACTCTTGAAATTTAAACAGAAGCACTAGATGAGATATGTATACTATAATGAAAGAGATAATTGTGTGATCAATTGAATAATTTTCAACTGGATGCTGAAGAGGTATACATGAAAAGAATTTAAAATGGATATGATAGTATAGAATCATTAGGAGATACAAAAATGATAGGAACTAAATTTGTAGTTTTTGATTTCATAGTAAGAACATAATTATAAAATTGTGTTCAATTGGAAAATTTGAGAATAATAGTTTTTAGTTTAAAGAACTTTTGTTCTTTTGTTCTTTTTTTTTTTCAATTTTTTGTTCTTTTATGTTTTTTTTTTGTTTTTTTTTGTTTTATTGTTTTTTTTTTGTTATTCTTTTTTGTTTTTTATTTATTATTTATTCATGTTTTTTATTTGGTTTGAATGGCTAAAGTATTTGATTATAATTTGATTATAACTAGATTATAACCAGATAAATTAAATTAACATTAATTAAGAAATGAAATTAGGTATTTCAGGAATGATTTGTTTTTACTGTAGATTACTTTAATTTACTTAATAACTTTGTCTATGTTTTTTTTTAGGCTGTTTGTTTGAATTGGTGAAGTGTTTTTGTTTTGTTTTGTTTTGTGATTGGTAATGTTTAGGGCGACTACTTGTATAAAATGAATGAAAGATAGGGGGATTTACAAAAAGAGAAATATCTTTATTATGAGCATCAGAAATTTCTATAGGACTATGTATGTTCAAAGAGGTAGAAGAATTTTGATAGGGTGTATCAGAATGAATGTGGTGATTGTGGTTGTAGTTTGGGTTGTTGTTTGAGTCATTATAGCTTGAATTATCATTGATATTTTGGGTGTTAGAATTATCGTTATAATTCACATTAGGATTCACATTAGCATTCATAGAGTTATTATTAGAATTTATATTTGAGTTATTATTAGAGTTATTAGAGTTACTGTTATTGTTAGTATTGTAGTTATTATTATTATTATTATTATTATTACTATTATTTTTATTATTATTATCAGTAGAATTAAAATTGTTAAAGTTATGGTTATCAAAATTTTTATTGAGGGATTGATTGAAATTTTGATTTTCTATGATTGATTCAAGGAATTCATTGTTAAAAGATGGAAGATGGTCTGATTGGGGTAAAATATCAAAGTTGAGGTCTGAATAATTTGAGTCAAAAAATGAAAAGTTTAGCATGTTAACATTATTTTGATTTTGTTCGTCATTAGCATTTGATTTATTTGGATTATTATTTTCATTGATATTATTTATATTATTAGTGGGGATTGGAGTGGGGGTGGAAGAAGTGGTATTTAAACTAAGATACTCTTTTTCTTCGAGAAAAGAGCCATCATGAAACATTAAAAATTGAAAATTTTTATTGGAAGAGTTGTTGTTATTAAAAGAATTTGGATTGAAAGTGTTGGGAATGTTGAAAGTGTTAATTGGGGATAGTGAATTGTTATTCATATTAGAATTAGATATAAATAGATTGTAAGTAGGATCATTATCGATAGTGACTGGGTTTGATGGAAGAATTGAAGAGTCATAAAAATTATTTAAAGAGTGATTGAGGTTGTTGTTGTTGTTATTTAATAAGTTAAGAGCATCATTGTTATTGGTGATGGAGCTTGACTTGAGAAAGATATGGAGAGAGTTCAAGTCAGAGTAGTTATCCTTTAAGAATTGTAATAGTTTATTGTATTTATTGTTTGTGTCCTTGATTTTTGATTTCAAATCTATATTTTCGTTTGCTAAAAAGGCATTTTTCTGTTCTAAATTCAAAACCTTATTCTTCTGCCTTTCTCTAAATTTTCTTTGAGAAGTTCTTAGTTGGGCAGCTCTTTTAGTTGGGGGTTCATCCTTTGAAATTTTTCTGCCTCTTCTTTTAGCTGCCTTATTAATCAAAGTGTTATTGGAAGAAGCGGTAGTGATTGTGTTGGAAGCGGAAGTACTTTGGGTGGAACCGGTGATATTCTGAGTTTGATTGCCATCTGGAACAGTGGAGGTAGAGGGAATAACAGGATTGTTACCCAAAGAACCAATTATATTATTGATGTTTATATTGTTATTAGCATCCTCATTGAAATTAAGGAATATGGAACCGAACATGTCAAGTTTATCATTCTGGTTATGATAATTATCGGCAATATTCAAGTCAAGATTGATATTGAGGTTGTTGTCAAAGTCGTTATTGTTGAAGTCGTTAGAGGTGTAATCTGTCTCAAACGAATTCAGGGTATTTGCTGACTGCAAAGATTCAGTATAGGGGGGAGTTTTCAAGCCGTTAAAATCCATTGCAAATTATAAGAAAAATTGTGTAAATGAAAGGGAGTATTGAATGGATGATGTGAAATGATATGAAATGAGTGTGTAATTTGTAATGGACTGAAAAATAAGAATAATGGTAATGAAGATGAAATTAAGAATGATTGCAGATGATTAGAAATGGTGTCAAATGCCTGAATATATAAGAAAGCAGACCAACAATGCAGAAAAAAAAGGAAAAAAAGGAAGAAAATCAAAAGAAAAGAAGAAATGAACGAGGACCAAGAAGATGGAGCCAATTGAGAGCAAAAGAGGAGGAACCACGGGGAGGCAGGAGAAGCAGAGGAAGCAGAGAAAGATCTCTTGGGAGAGGAAGTGGATTTGAAAAGACAATGGAAATCTAAAAGCACAAATGAGGAAGAAAAGATATTTATATGAAAAGCACTTGCCACTCAGCAGAAAAGTAAACGTTCCAAGAATATGGAAAAAGCAGGCTGAAAAATATGATTTCAAATCGCTGGCTTAAAGCGGAAGGCCTCGCAGGAAACGTTTTGCTGGAACCTCCGCTTTGCACGTCCGTGTGAGTGGCCCCGAAGGGCTGCGTGAACAGTGCATGGTGCTGCGTTTGCGCGGAGCCCAGCCGGCGCTTCGACGGGGACACTCAATTGAGTTTGCGTGCTTCTTTTTTGGGCGAGCGATATAATCGAGAGCCATCTGAAGCCATCTAGAGCCCATCTCTTGTCATGGAATCAGTTGATGCACATCCTCCTGAAGCCCTGGATGCTCTAGAAGCTTTTGCCTGCAAACTGCTGGCCAATCAGGCTCTTGCCACCGAGGTGCTCCGTTGGTTGCAACACGACCCTGGGTTCTATCTCTCTCCAAAAGTCAGTGTTCGTTACACAAAGTCGTTTGGCCACAGTGTTTACTCTTGCGGGCCCCTCTCTGCCAGCGAAAGCCTTGTCTCTGTGCCTTCGCACTACCTCCTCAACGTCGTGTCTGTGCTCAGCTCCATTCACACCTACAAAGCCTCCTGTTCCGGAAGCAGCAGCTGCACTGGACCAGAGCTGCTTCTCGTGCACCGTTGCTACCTCGCGGTGGAGTTGGGCGCCATGCTCACCCAGCTCTCGTCCTTCCAGATGGTTGCAATGTTCCTGCTTCTTGAGAGCAAAAGGGGCTCCGCCAGCTTCTTCCATCCGTTCCTTACGTTTCTCGCCGCCAGCTTCGACGCCTGCCACAGCCTCCCATTGACATGGCTCTTCAACGACAGCAGCGACTTGATCCTCCTCCTCCCACACTCCATGAGAGCTCATCAACAAAAGATCTACACCAGATTCACTGCTGACTACAATGCTGTTCTTTCCTTTCTAACCTCTCTTTCCGTCGACTATGCTGTGTTGGTCGCTGATAAGCTTGAGTTTCTCAAGTTCTGGTTGGCCATCAACACCAGGTGTCTCTACGTTTCCTTCAACAACATCCACCTCATCAACCACTTGAACACCTCATTGGGCTTGAATCTCGACATTGATTTAAAATCTCCTACAAACATTTTAAACCACGTCAGGTCTTTCGTCGAAAAGAACCACAATTTCACTCTATGTCCCCTAATCGACTTTCTAAATCACACTGCTGACCAAGATTCTTCTGTTCAGCTTCTAAACACGATAAACTTCACGAAAAACGATACTCATTTCGATTTCTCCCTAAGAATAACCAGCAATTCGACTAATCCGACACCAGCCCCAAACCTACAAATTTACTTGAACTATGGCCCTCACTCAAATGAATTTTTAATCAACGAATACGGTTTTAAATTGCCTTATGATCAAAACAGCTGGAACGATCTCGACTTAACCCACTACCTACTCAATTCATTGAGCTTGAAACCGTTCCAGTACAAGTATCTAAATAATCTCAATTATTTATCGAATTTATTCTTGAACAAGTTTGAAATCAGTTTCACAGTTTTAATACTACTATTGGTCTATCAATTCGACTCAATCCACGCTTTCAATCAAAATCTAAATCTCATCAACTCAATCATTAACGGCCACATCAATCTCGAAGACTCAAAACCTCTATATCATAAAATCCTTTTTACTCTAAAAAGTCTACTAATTGATTTTATAGCCGAAAACATATCTCCAAAGATATTAGCTTTGAAAGAGCTCCAAAACAATCCCAAGGCCAGTAAAGCAAAAAACACCCATTATAACAACAACATTGATTTGATCCTCGAAATATATCAGGAAAGATTGCTAATAATCAACCACCACCTTGAGTACATCAAATCCACTTTAAATACGTAACACATTTGCTGTTACCTTTTAGAACTTATCACCACTTTTCTTTTTGTTCAATCTTCCACTCTGCATGAGGTCATGCGTGTTCATGCGACTGACTGTCTGTCCTTGTATATGTTTCGTAAATCTGATTTTCTTTCTTTTTGTTCTTTTTTCCCTCTTTTTTTTGAGTTTAACTGCTCTGAATTTCATTTCTCATGATAATTTAATCCATCACCATCTTATATCTTTATATCTTTATATCCATATCTTGATATCTACATCTTTATCTCCGTATCTGCATATCTAGATCCCACATCCAATTTTATGTTCAAAAAAAGAAAAATAAAAAAATAAAGAATATATTCAAAAATGATTCTAACCTATTCAATCAATCTAATAGAAATCACACTGATAATCACAATGATAACCATTTAATTCATATCATTAATAGATGAAAAATAAAAAAACAATCAATCTCAAATCTCAATATTGATGATAATCATAGTAATCATGATCATAATCAGAACCATCACCAAAATAACCAAAATAACCAAAATAACCAAAACAATCATTACAATCACAATAATGACGATAATGATAACTTGAATTACATCAAACCAACCATCATCACAAACTTCTAACTAGATATATTCAAAGACTTTAAAAACACTGACCACTGTGCCTTCGGTGATACCTGTATATTCCTACACATAAGAGGCAATTTCCAAAAAGGTTAGAAACTAGATGACAATAGTAATAAATGGATAATAATCAGTACTTATCTTGACACCAAAATCCAAAAAAAATAAAATACTAGAAGATAAAATCCTATTTAAATGCCCAATCTGTAGAAGAACCTACAAAAATCTAATAAAAACAACCTGTAACCACTACTTTTGGAGAAAAATGCTTCCTCGAAATATACTCTTCTAAAACCATCAAAAAACGCTTTATCTGCCATGCTAAAACAAATAAAATAATGTTTCCTCCTCTCTCTTCCTTCCCTTTCCCTTCCACTTGAGTGGCAATCTTTCTGAGCTTCACTCTCATTGGCTGCTTCAGGGGTTGTTTCCAAATTAAAACAAAAAATGTAATCATCAATATATCTATCAATACTTTCTTTTTCTTTCTCTTTCTCTTTTTTAATCATTTTAAAGCATTGAAACAATTAATTCATACTATGCCAAATACCAATCTATTTTTAAACTCATCCAGTTTTCTCACTGCAAACAGTAATACCTCTACCAAAACAAAAAATCTGAAAAATTCTCATCAAACTGATTTACTAACTCCCCCATCTTCTTCTTCTTCAAACTTAAACGATTCTGACAACTTTGCTGTATTCAATAAAAAGAGAAAATTCGATTTCACTCCATTTCAAGACTCAAATGATATCAATCACAATCTTATTTCTCAAATTATTACCGAAAAATCTGACATCAATCTTCCCTTAAGAAATATCACTGATTCCTTTATCAATATCAATAACGACAACAAAACTATCAATAACAAACTAATCAATCAATTAGCTTCGAAAAAAAAGGAAATTGAAAACTTAACCTCAGTTTTAGAATCAAAAAAATTACAATTGTCTCAATTAATTAAAAAGTATGATATCAATCATCAACACATTACTCATACTACTCATTTCAGCAATTTGAAATCAAAAAGAATCAAGATTAATCAAAATGACTCAATTAATTTTGAGCCAGTTTCTTCAAACATTACTAATGACTCATTAATCACAAGCTCAAAATCCTGTCCTAACTCTCCATTAAAACGTTTATTCATTAATAACTCTACCGGTAATCATAATAACTCAGCCAATTTAATAGATAATCAAACCATGGCTAAAAAAATGCTTCTCACTCATAATACCCCTAATCCTTATAGCCAATTTGATTTATCATACAATGATAATGATAAAGAAAACAACTTTTCAAAGACTCTTGATGAGTTCAATAAATTGAATCAACAAAATCAAAATCATTATAATCGTCCGATGACCGCTAAAAGTTCAATGCTAATTGATCACAATGATGATTATTAATGATCAATGATAATAAATATCTTTATAGAATATTTTCTATTCTTTAAGCTTAAATAAAAAGGAGCAAAATAAAATAATGTAAAACAAAACAAAATACAATACAATATATTATAATAGAATAAAATAAAAAAAAATAAAATAGAATTAAGTTCGTTTTTGTTTTTAATTTCTAAAATGTTTTCCTTCATTCTTTTTTGTTCTTTTTCATTCTCTTCTCTTCTATTTCTCCATTAGATGGTTTTTCTCCTATTAAATTTTGGATTTTTTTAATAAAATTAATCGAATTAATTTTCGAAGAAACAACAAAAAATATAAAAAAGTAGTAAATTTCGTTTTAATTAGGTCTCACAGCACGCACTTCCCCTAAAATATCCAGCCTGATTATCTTTTGCTTTTGCTTTCTTTTTGTCCAGTAATTTGAAAACTAAAAGAAAGCTCAGAGGAGTGACAAATCTAAAATAGTCCCAAAGACAAACTATTAAATAATAAACATGACTCTTGAAATATAAGATAGGAACTTCAGATCGCTAACTTCCATTTTATTGTAACAAAAGATGAACATTGCAGTGCAGTTTCATAAAAAGCCTACCATTTATCGTTACTTCATTTCTCATTCTTGTTATCCACCCGGTTTGTTCAACCTACTTTTCGGGTACTCCAGCTTTGAACTTTGATTAGAGCAGATGGTAGTTTTTTTTTCATTAGCTTTGCTTCTTTCAAATACTCTCAACAGCAGGATTGTGTTTTTATTCTACTCTTCAGTTTAATTTTCAGTCCGAATTACGTTTGACCAAATGGATAAAAATGGATAGAATTAACCACAATGACAAAAACCTGAGACAGGAAAAATGAAGAAAATTGTGTATCATGGATAAAAGCGTAACAACACAATTAACAATCTCTCTACGAAAAAAACTTAATTCAAAATGTGCAGTCAGCTGAAGGACAATTTTCGAATCCAATTTACACCATAAAATTATACCAGAAATAAAAAAAAAAGTTTCTTAATTATACAATAAACATTTGCAGTGATATTTTGTTTTTCATTTAGACAAGATGTGAATTGATAGTGGCTACTCCAGGTCTAGCGGCAATACCACCATGGTCAATGCTGGAGGTGGCACCAACAGGATTGCTGATTCAGAAGATGGTGTCTTTGTTTGTGGACAAGTTTTTGGTTGAAGTGAATAGATGTGAGACACCATCATCAGAAGCATAAGTGGTGGAAGTGTGGGCGGCACCACTGGAAGCAGTATCTGAGACATTGATAGAGACATCGGAAGCACTGCTGTGATCATCACTGTTATTGAAGACGCCTGGAGTGGTATGTGAGAGCTGTGTGTGTTGGGCTGTTGATCGAATGCTGGCGGTGGATGGAGAGAAATGAATGGTTGGTTTGAAGGAGCAGCTTGTGTTATGGTGTATAAGATGGTATTGGAGGATAAGCTTGCTGTTAAAGCCGAACTCTTTGGGTGTGATTGTAAGAACACGTTTGAAAAGTCTTTGGAAATACGTTGGATGTGTTTCTGTCAAAGCACCCAAGTCGATAAGAGAGATTTTTTTGATTTTTGCTGAAAAGTGGATCTGGTTCCTGATGATCATGAGATAGTTGGAGGCTATATGCCTGGACACAAGAAAGACCAACTGGACAATGTATGGCAAGACTATGTTACAGGCTTGCTGAAGGCAGGTGCTTTTTTTGTTGTACTTTCTGTTTCTTGTCTTGTTGAGACATGCCTTTGTGTATATCAGGATGGGCACCAAATCAAGACGGTTGTACACCAGGAGACAGCAGGACTGTAAGAGGGGGATATCATGGTTCTCAGGAATGAAGCGTTGATTTGGCGAAAAGCATGAGTGGCAGACATGGTAGCTGTGCTGCTTGACAAAAATGGAATAGGTTGTAAGTGGAATAAAGTCCAGATGATCAGTGGGAGAATAGTGTTTGCATTTGTCTAGTTTACAGGAGGGATAAAATATTGATTTTAGTGTCTTGTTTAACACGAGAAAGTGGAGTTGTGAAAAGGGATCTGAAAAACGATAAGCAAACCATTGGTCGGATGACAATTGGTAAGAAAGGAAAGTAGATGGATTAAATAATTTTATTAAGTTTTTTGTGTTGGTTTTTGTTTTGGCCATTTGATCATTTATTATTTGAGATCAGTGCTGAAGTTTTTTATCTCAGATTAGGTGTGGTTTACTAAAGTATTTGTGCTTAGAATATGCTCGTATTTGACTAATAACTGAGCTGAGCAAATAAACAAGATAGCAAAGCAATCTTTTTTTGTTGAATTTATTTCAATATTTACGAATATACATTAAATTTTTAAGATTATTAGATTTATTTTGTAGTGATCTAGCCAATTGGCCAATTGCAATCGTTATTACTGGGCAAAGCAACTCGCTCTAGGATATAAGTAAAGGAAGCAGTGACAGGGCCACAGGGCCACAGAGCCACAAAACCAAATCAGCTGCAATTGAGATCTGCATTGATAATGTTATTGCAATGAGCAGCTGGGTATTCCATTAACAACACAGAGATAACATCACATTGGTCTGTGATCCACTTTGATGCTGCCTTTTGTAAAATGGTAGATGATTTTCCGCTGATAAACTTTTCGGACAAACTAGTGCATATACACACATGTAAACGCGCAAACACCTAACATCCACGCATTCGACATGTGTCACTTTTGCCAAATGTGTCATCTTGTGAGCTAAGTAACAGGATTGGTGTTGAAGCTCAATAGTCGACATTCCGTTGACATAATCTTCTTTTCACCACAATTAATTCCATTTCATCACCATCAAACAAAGATTAATCTTCTCTTTCAGAATGTTACAAAGCCGTTTCCGGTTTGTTCTTCGGATTCAAGAACCGGATTTTTTCTCTCATTTCCGGGTTTCGGTTTCTTTGTAATCCACCAAGATTAGCTAATACAAATTAGTAAAAATTAGTCAAGATTAATAATAACAAAAATATCAAATAGAAAATCAAATAATGTAGCAGAATGTTTTTCTCCCTTACTTTTGTAGTTCAAAAGTTAAATTAGCATTACTAAATCTCTAACCAGTTAATCAACAGGATTTAACCTGTTCTATCATGAGTATTTTTTTTTGTCTGATAATTATGATTACAATCAATTACTAATCTGTGAGGGTTACAAATTGTTTTTACCAAATACTAGCTTTTTAAATTTTGCAGTAAATTCGCACAATTGCTATTTATTTGTATTCATTAGCCTCTTGTGTTGAAGTGCAGCCATATCCGGTGGGAATTCAGGAGTGTTGGTGAATTGATTGAAATTAGTATATCAATAGGGGAAAATATCTAGTTTCAATTTTTGATCCTATTTCTTTTATCAAAAATATTATATCTGCAATAATTAGTCTTTTAGGTCTTCAATACTATCCTAATATATTCAATTAACTCATTTCAATTAACTCAATTCAATTAGCACCTACATCCACCATGTCTTACAAACCAAAAGTCGCTGTTTTCGGTATCAATGGCTCCTTAGGTAGCGTTACTATCAATGCCTTGACCTCAGCTCCATTTGCTGACAAGATTGCACTTCCAGTTATTGCCATCACCAGAGACAACTCCAAGGAAACCGACACTGATCTAGTTGTTTATAAACAAGCAGAGGTCAAGCCAGATGCTCCAGCCAAAGAATTGACCGATATCTTGAAGGGAGTTGACGTTTTGCTCAATGTTGGAAGCGTTGCAAATTCCAATGACAGAACTTTGGATGCCATTCTCAAAGCTGGCACAATCAAATTATATGTTCCCTCTCAGTTTGGATTGGATTTAGTTGCTACTCAAAGTTATTTTCCTAATTTTTTGTCTATCAAAACTGACCACACCAACAAGGCAAGAAGCTTGGGTATCAAAACTGTTGATGTCATTACCTCACTATTTGCTCAGTCAGGCAAATTTTTGTACGAATGGATTGGTTCTGCTGGTTACAATCCTGCTACTCAAACTGCTACTTTCATTGGAGATCCAAACCTCAAATCTGCCATTTCCAAATTGGAAGACATTGGTAAAGCGCTTGCATCACTATCAATCAAGGACCCTCAAACAATCCCAGACACAGTCAGAATCTATTCTGATTTGGCCTCTCAAGAAGATATTGTAAAGAGATATGAAGAAACCCACAATGTCACAATCAAACGTGAAGGTATTTCAAAAGAAGAAGGTTTGAAGAAAGCACAAGCCTTGTTAGCCAAAGGTTTTAATTTTAATGACTTTTTCTTATATTTACAAGTCGCTGCTTCTCAAGGTGTAGATAAAGGATTATTGTTTTCATCGGACGACAGAGAGTTTGTCAATCCAAATGAATCACTATTCAAATGGGGAAAATTTTAATTTGATATAGTAAAGCTTACTTGGACAAAACAGCAGTATTGAGTATTTTCTATATACATTTCCATAAAAGTTTAATCCTATGTTATATAGCTAAATGAATATCTATTAATTCTAATATCTCAATGAAAAAAAGCTTTCCCTTTAATTTGTTATTACGGCAGAGTAAATACTTTTTTTGTTGGCAAATCTTGTAATATCAATTACATTAAAAGAAAACCATATTGTGGTTACAGAGCAATCACCAATTGGAAGCCAGTGAAAAAAACAAAAGTAATCAGAACAAAAAAGGCAGGGACGTTCATTTTGGTACATTTGTGAATAAACGAACAATTTGATGGAACAACAATAACTAAGGCTATAAAGATATATAGACCACAATTTTCAAACTTAATGATCTGCTATTTTCAGTCGAGTTTTCCTATTTACTTTTCTTTGACATGGGATGGGTTTATGTATTAGCACTCCGGAAAACTAGATGGTACTACAATTATTGTTCAATGAAGTCAAATATCTAATCAACTGTTCCTCAAGCTTTAATGTTATTGTTATTAATATGAATCGGTTGATCAAATCAGAATCTGCAAAATAGAAAATAGCATTTCAATTACTCTTGTAGAGTTTCAAATTGTGGTATTTCCACTATAAACCAATAATCAAAACTTTTTGAATTTGATAACCATCAAGTTGGATGTCATCACTTTTATACAATTCTAGATAAACTGATGAACTGAAATCTGTCCAAATGTTATATCAGTATGGGGGCAATATTGCAGAACCAAAATAAGTGCATTATGAAGATGCTCAGTTTTAAAGAGGTACAAATAAACGATCACAGATCGCTGTGGTATTATCCAATTATAACCGGTTCCTTTATCATTCAATTTTTCATTCAATTTTAATTTCACCAACTAGAAATATAAAACACAATTAAAGATATTTATTGTGTATTTCCTTTAAGATTGGAAATATTAAAATCAGGGGACTAAGAGTTCAGTTTTGCTTTTAAAACTAGAGTACACCACTCGGTACATTTATTGATCATTTTGATTACTCATGTAGTAACACATAACCAAACAGAACAAAAATATAAAAATACTGAAGCTCTCTCTTTCATCTCAAATAGGCTTTTAACCAGTTTATTATGTTTCTTATATTTTTAAACCAATTTAATTGTGGTTTATTATCACAAAAATCCAAAACAACAGCAACCTGTTTTGGTATTTTCGACTCTTTCCATTTCATTTTCATTCATCATATTGCAACTTCCAAAGATTTAGCAAAATGAAGCAATCTCAAATATTTTTAGATTGGATTGCATTTTTTTGAATAAAATTGTTTTATGTAGTAATTTGTTTTTCAGGACAATTTATTTTTTTAACAGACAAGCACAAGCAATCAAAATTTGAGATAGCAGCACTGACACCAGTGAAGCTGACCCACAAACCTATCACCAACATAATAATATTCAGAAAACTAGAAAACCATCTTAAAGTTGGGATGAAAAAGATTTATTACTACAGAGGATTACTGTTGGTTGTCTTTTTTAAAACTATTCAACGTTCTAATAAATTGATCAATATGGTTCTTTTAGTTTTGATTCGTATATTCGGCCATTCTTTGTACTGATTCAAATCAAAACGTTTTCCCTTGAATTTTATTACAAATGCTTCTTTAAACTAACCTACAACTCTTTCAAAACTATAAAGGGTTTCAACAAAAATTTGAGCAACAGTAATAACACTAATCATTGCCACCACTATTATTATCGATCAAACCATTAACTGTTACAGTTGAAAATCCAAATGATATTTATTAATCACTTTTTTAAAAATAACTGATATAAACGTTAATATATCAATACTACTAAGACTTAGTATTTTCAAATTGTTTTTTACTCATTTTCATTAAATTCCAACCTCAATTTTATGATTTTTATCTGTTTCAATTTTGGTGTGAATATTACCGATATATCCAATACTCAAATAATTTATTTAATAAATTCAAGCAAATAAACACACTTTCAAATATGTTAGATTTTTTCGATTTTTCTTAAACAGATTTAGTCACTTTGGCACAAGTTCAATTAATCTTTTCAACACTTTTAATAACACCAGCAGCAACAGTTTGTTTCATATCTCTGATAGTAAATCGGCCTAATGGTGGATACTCGTTGAAGCTCTCAACACACATTGGTTTGATTGGAACTAATTTAACAATAACACTTTCATTATTTCTGAGGAATTTTGGATTTATTTTGGCTGCTTTACCAGTTCTTCTATCAATTTTCTTTTTTAATTCAGCAAATCTGCAGGCAATATGAGTAGTGTGGCAATCAAACACTGGAGTGTAGCCAATGCCAATTTGACCAAGATGATTAAGCAATATAACTTGAGCATCAAAGGAAGCACAACTTTTCGGTGGGTCATTTTTGACATCACCACACACGTAGCCTCTTGTGATATCTTTGACAGAGACGTTTTTAACATTAAAGCCAAGATTGTGAGCAGGAAGGCCCTCGGATAATGATTCGTGATGCATTTCAACTGACTTGCCTTCACCGGTGATATCGAGAGGAGCAAATGTAACAACTTGACCAGGCTTTATCACACCAGTTTCAACTCTACCAACTGGCACAGTTCCAATACCACCGATCGTGTAGACGTCTTGCAATGGTAAATGTAATGGTTTATTTTTTGGTCTTTTTGGCAATTGAATCGAGTCAATAGCTTGTACCAACGTCTTACCACGAAGTACACCATTTCCAATCCCCACAGCCCAACCTTCATGCCATGAAGAGTTTGAGGAAGACTCAAGCATGTTGTCACCATTCCAACCAGATATTGGAAGAAAAGCTACAGATTTAGGATTGTAACCAACTTTCTTGACAAAATCGTAAGTCTCTTTGATAACTTGATAGAATCTTTTTTCACTCCAGTAAGCACTATCCACCTTGTTCACCGCAACTATTAATTGTTTAACACCCATGGTCTATGCTAGTAAAGCGTGTTCTCTGGTTTGACCGTCTGTAGATATACCAGCTTCAGATTCACCAGCTTCAGATTCACCAGCGACAGCTGAAACAACTAAAATAGCACAATCAGCCAGTGTTCACCTGTGATCATGTTCTTAATGAAATCTCAATGTCCTGGTGCATCCATAATAGTAACATGGTATTTTGGAGTCTCGAATTTCCGTAATGTAATATCAATGGTGATTCCTCTCTCTCTGGGCCTTTAACTTATCTAGCACCGATGCATACTTGAACGAGCTTTTGTCTAATTCAGCAGCTTCTTTCTCATAGTGTTCAATCGTGCGCTTGTCAATCCCTCCACATTTGTAAATTAAATGGCCGGTGGTGGTTGATTTGCCAGAATCAACATGTCCAATAACGACGACATTAACGTGTTGTTTTTCTCTACCCATTGTGACGGCGGTATGTGCTAGTTGTTCTTAATAGTGTTTGGCTTGACAAAAATATAATATCAGGTGTATTCAAGCAATTGAAGTAATCGCCTTATAAATTGAGAGTGCGTGGATTATGGGCTATTTCATTTCTAACTCTTTCTCAACAGCTGAGAAGAACAAGCCAATATATATATTTCGATGGCTGTGAATCAGCCACCTCCCTCGATGTGATTGGACAAGGCGCTCATGAGTAGCGATGCCACTGTGCATAACCCCCGGTGATGGTATTTCTTATTCAAGAAGGCAAATCTTTGTTCGACTCCTTTCTCCCCAGCATCGCAGAGCAGTGCAGATTTGGCGGGATAGAACGTAAGCCTGCTCCCATTCCGGCTCAAATTCGCCACAACTGTACACACAAAAACAAGGCAGATAATAGCCAATCAAAGCGGGTACCTTGTGTTACGCTTGATGGCTTCCGAAAGGAGAGGCCCCAAGATCTGTGGTCCTTTCATAAGCAACTTTGAGCATGGCTCTGATGAGAGTGTTGCTTCAGTTATCACAATCCAGACAAAACATTCGAAAGATGGCGAAAGATGCTGCTCCAAGTTCTTCTTCTCTAGAAGAGACAGTCACAGCTGTCGCTACCTCTAGCTTCCAAAACCCTCTCTTCCAAAGGGCTTACCAGTACACTGCCACTCCCTACCCAGCATGGTTTTCGTCTGTGTCCATATTCTTAACGCCGTTCATTAACAGAAAGATTCTTTCTCACAGAGTAAAAGAGAATAAAGCTACTACCAAACTCATGATACCTGTTGGAACTTTCAGTTCTATTTTCTATGGTTCTGCGTTTGCTCTTGCAGGCTTTATAATCCAGGATGGAGATGTGACCAATGGTGCTGGTTTCACGTTTGTGTGGTCGACATTATATTTGCTAGTTCATGGAAGGAAGTCACTTGCTGGTCTTCGCTATGGACAGCCATGGCCTTTGTTTTTGGCAACAACTCTTGCTGGAAATGCCATTTTGCATGGCAGGCGTTTTTTCTTTCCTTAGCTCTTAGCTTTTTCAGTTCTTCTGGCTTTAGTCTGTTCAGAAATTTTGTCTAGTATTCCCTCACAGTTGCAATACAGCCCACTATTCTGCATAATGAATTGTAATATTAATGATCGATATATTTTTGGTCGCTCTGTTTGTTTTGATACTCAATTAATTTCTTGAATTGAAGCTTGACTTTGGATTTGGATCTCCAAAAACCAGCCCCAAGAATTATCGTTTTCTCGCCAGCCATTGGTTATATGGTTTTAATGTTTGCTGTGAGATAATCACAATCCAAAAGCTTCTGAACGAGTTAATATGATGATTCAGTTGATCTCTCATATGATTCTTTGCACTTTATTAGATATGAGATCCAGAATCATATTGTTTCTAGAGGTAGACTTGCAACTCATTGCACCCATTTGTTAGCATTCTTCAGCTCTTTCAATCCACTGGTGTTTGAAGGCGAAATGTACTTCGCTGCAGAGTCCTGCAGTGCTTAAATGAACTGGATGGAAAATCTGATTTTTGTTTATTCTTTGAAATTATCACCTTGGGCATCTCCCACAACTCTACAAAAATATAGCTACCATCTCACATTTCTAGAAAACACTCATATTCAATAAACTTATTTCAATGAGTTCTGAAAAGAAATTAGAGAAGAACCATTCTGTTGACTATTTATACTCATCTTCTCATTCTATTTGTTTTAACGCTGCTCTATCAAACAGTTACATTCAGAATTTTTATGATTATTGCGATACAAATAAGATCAATCTCCCAGATCAACTACAATTTAAAGATAGCCAAAATGCAAAACATTTACGATTCTGTGCAAATTGCAATAATATCTACTTACCTGGGGTGAATGTCACAATTCGAGTCAAATTTGACAAAGCAAATCCCAAAATCAAAAATAGAATCCGTCAAAATAAACAAACTAAACAAACTAAACAAACTAAGCAACCGGAATCAAATGTAAAAGTCCAGTCAAATCAAATTATTGGAAAATGGAAACCAAGAAAAAGAGTCCTATCCTATAAATGTACTCTATGTAATCATGAACTTCTAATCCCCCTACTAACTCCAACTTCACAAAAAAAAACAAATTTTATAAAAGAAAATCCTTTAAAATCCAAGAACACTTCAAAAGATCCTAGAGTTTACAATAATTCAAACTCAAACAAAAACATTGATGAAAATTCGAAAAATGCTCCTTTCACTGACAAAAATATTCACCTGGATTCAAAATCATTGACTAAAAAAAAGAGAAAGAAACAAAAACATTCTCTCATAGACATAATTCAAAATAAAAAGTCTAAAAACCAAAAATCCTTGGAGATGAGTGATTTTTTTATGTAAAACATGGGTTCTTATTTCGATTTCTACGTTTTATCGAACTTCCAACAGTATAAAATAATTAATCTAATCATTCCATACCATTTGTTTTGAATTAGAAAAATTTTCAAGAAACTCCAAATGAAAAATTTAGCTGGTGAAAACGATTTACTAGATCTTGTATCTTTTATTTAAATAGTTTCAATTCATATAATTTTATATTTTTTTTAGTCGTGAAACAGTATTTATAAGAAGAAAATTTTTTTGCAGAATATAATCAGTGTTAACGTTGCTCAGGACAAATAAAAAAACCAGCCTTAATAACTGGAAATTTAATGATGTTCATCATGATGATCCTTCTTCAAAAATATCTTTTCGTAAGCACAATAAGCTACGAATAATACACATGCTGTGCCGAAACCAGGAAGAGCACCTTTATATCTATTAGCAAAAGCACCTTGGTATCTCCATGCTTCTCTGTTCATAATTGTAATGGAGGAAAAAAAGTGAAGTTATTCGTTAGAGCTTATTCAATTAAAGAGGGAAACTGGCACAATAAATTGAAGTCGAGACACATACCTTCTTGCCCAAGGATCTGTAGCCATTATGGTGAAAAAAAATAACTTTATGGATTAATTGGTTAATTGATGTTTGATAATCACAGCAAAATAGCTCTGTGGTTGGTTTTTGTTTCGCTGACTATCTGATAGTGAAGAAAGAAACGATTCTTAATAATTCTGGTTACTTCGTTTGTCATTGGCTAGACCGGATATAGATGGATCACGCCTTTTTCAAACCTCTCTTCAACTACTGTAACTGAATTATTTTTCTCTTCCCTCAGAAATCACTCCGAACAAATACTGGGGAAGGCTATTACACAAGTCAGTATTGTTATTTAAAAATGAAACTAGAAAGGAAAGCATTGAATGTTTTAGAAACCGCTTCTCATGCTGTTAACTCTGGCTTACTATCCAAACAACCTGTGTGGATGCCAGTGGTTGCTGCTCATCCTCCATTGAAAGATTTGATCAGAGTACCATACCGATTAAACAAACTATCGGAAAGTAGAAATCAGGACTCAAAAACTAAAACCAAAAATTCAAATTCAGTGTTTAAAACAAATAACAAAGATTTGAAACCGGCTAACCTTTATAAACCATCAAATTTGAATTTCTTAGCAGATGAGCTACGATCATTATTTTACAAACAACATCCATGGGAACTAGCCAATCCAAAATTGGTTGTTGAAAATGCCAATGGTGATGATAATATATCTACCAACTACTCTAGTATTTTGAATGTTGGTAAAGCACTAGATGGAGAAGCTGTTGTACAAAGAAGCCTATATATTAAGGAAAATTCAAAAGATTTGAGTCTTTTGCAATGCTATGATCAAGCAAGATTTGAATTTTACCAGGCGAAAATTCACCGTGAGTTGGCTGCTAATGTTGCCAAAGAAGAAGCACTGATGGCTGGAGCAGTGTTTGGAAAATCCCATATTGAAATTGGTTTTGAACAAGAGCAGAATATTATTACACAATGGAAAAAGGACGCTACCTTCCAAACTAAAGTTTTGGATTCCAGTAAATCTTTTGGAGTCTCACAAAACTCATCTGCAAATAATCTAGAAAATGAAAATAAACAAAAATCAACCGATGAGCCTAGTGATGTATTTAATGACGAATATAGCTAGAAAAATGCATTAAAACAAGTATAATACTGATTAATCTTACTATGGTTATCTTACGTACTTCAAGAAATCAAAGATAATCATAAATATATTTCTTTTTATGAATCCCATTAATTTATCACTGGGTGGGATTTTTTTCACTTTATTTTCAAATAATTGTCCCAACCGAAAAGTAATTTTGAATTCGTTAATTTCTGGATTGAACTATAAGATGTTGAAATAATTATTATTTAGTATATATTCTGTATATAATATTTTATTAAATGTTCCATTTATTAACCCGCTATCAATCCAGATAAGGACCCTTAATTGATATACTGCAATAAAGGTAAACAGAAAGTTAGATGCTTGGTTGAGTGCTTAAAGAGATCACAAACATGAAGGGACAACCATCTTGAATCCTTTCCATTAGTGATATTTTTTATTTGCAGCATGTATTCACAATTGTTATCCACAATTGATATTTCCACTTTATCACCAACCACCAAATGATGCTGCTTGCTTAATGATAGCAATTCCACATCTAGTTTCAGCTGATGGCTGCATCGGACCAACTAATCATGAAACTGCATATTATTGAGAACCATACACTCAAATGACCACTCCAAGTATGGCTGCTTTTTGTGTTGTTTTGCAAAATAGTACAACGTCCAGTATTTCTTGACCTTGTACTCAATGAGACACATCAACTGCTCGTTCTTGTTGTGAACTTTGCTATAATATAGTTCCTTCAACTCGCTTGACGAAAATTCCTTCAAGTATCATCTTCAATATAGTGAGACCAAATCTTTTGTAATTCTGATGGTATTGCTATTCGTAGAAGAAGTCTAAAAACCTATCATTTAAGTGAAATATTATCTGCCAGCTGTTGATCAAAGTGTCAATGGACACAGATGGCATGGATAGTTTGACATATCTTTTTATCAACCCCAACTTTTTATTCATATTATCATCTTGGGAGCTGCTTTAATGGAAGTTTCATACCTTTGAATTGAAAAAGAGAGATTATCAATAGAATTGCCAAAATCAGGCACAGCTGTTATGCTTTAAAAAAAAGTTGAATGTATTTAATGCTAGTAGGTTTGAAATGTTTTGGATTGTTTATATTTGATATGAACAAGTAGAAAAGAGTAATTAGAGTGATAGAAGATGAAAATCTTCAAGAAATTGTTAATAAGAGCCTTCTCTAATAATATTATTAATATATCTGTATCTGGAAATGTTGTTGAGACTGTTCTGTTATGACCTCGAACTACGTTAGTGTTTTTAAAAATATTGTTAGGTTGAGGTGGGATATTTCAATTTGAGGTGGGGTTGGCAAGATCTTCTTTTTGCTTCATCCACGGTCTTTTGTGAATCGAAGCGTACTGCGACCAGTTATAGCAAAATCAGTTTCCTCTCCATCAAATCACAGCTGGAGAATATTCAGTCCCATTCATCAAATCTCCATTAAATCTCTAGATATGAAACCCAAATTTAAAATTACTCCAAAAGTAATAATAATTGATTGGGACGAAACGATAACAAAATATGATACTATCGGCCTACTTGGTTCTATTCCTTATAAAAATAAAATATTAAGCTGCAATTTACCACCATGGAGTCATTTCAATAATTACTACTTTCAGCAGTTCAAGAGTTTCAACGACTCATTTAACGCAAAGCATAAAGTCACATCTACTAAGGATGAAATTTACTATCAAAAACAGCTAAAATCAATCGATCTTTTGTCTATTAATAAAATAGTAAAGAGTAAGGTATTTGAAAATGTTACTGACAAACAGTTTAAAAATTTACTGGATGATATCAAAATAAGAGAAGGATTTTGGGAGTTTATCAATTCATTGATTCAAAATGACAATGAAAACCTTCCAAACTATAAAATAGCAAGAAAAATTATTATTCTTAGTGTGAATTGGTCAAAGCTTCCAATTCAACATGCTTTTATTCAAAATCTAGGTTCGGAAAATTATCACAAATACATTAAAATAATCACAAATGAGTTTGAGTTCCAAACTGTAAATACGAATGAATTGACTGGTAAAATAAATGATTCAAATGAACTTATTAATGTTTGTACTGGCAACTTGGACACGAAAAACCAAGATGGGCATGATATTCGATCGGGCTATGATAAACTACTTCAAGTGATTAAAATTAAAAACAGTCTGATGTTAAAAACAAAGGAGAAGGACATGATGATATACATTGGAGACAGCAGAACCGATTTGTTATCCATGCTAAATTGTGATATTGGATTTATCATGAGTTCCTTTGATGACAAAACTATCAAAAGCTCTTTGTTAGATGTATGTCATGAGATGAATATTGAAATTAAAAGCATCAAAGATATTTTTCAACAGACCAGTCCAAACAATCTGGTTTTATTTAAAGTTGATTCGTGGTTTGATTTTAAAGGTGTTATCAATTGACTATTTGTGCAGATTTCACTGAAGTTTATGAATTGAGAGGGGTAGCACAACTACTTTCAACAACAGTTGATCTAACGTAGCCATTAATTTAAAGAAAATTTGAATCTCCATTGGTTTTGCACCAATTGCATGAATATCTGCAAGCTACAAACTGATGATATCAATTCAAAGCAACCTGTAATACCAACACACACTGATTGAATATTGCTGTGAGCCGCCCGCATGTCTACATTCGGTCCCTCGGTGTGTGTTACCGGTCTGCTCTCGTGACGCTCTGTAATCTGACCCAGTTCCCTATAAAAGGGGCTGGCGATCTCTTCTACGTTCTTTGTTCCGAGATACTTCATTACCTTAACATATTATCAACGATTCGCTACAACAGGTTATAAACGAACTTGTAAATCTTTTCTGGCAAGCATCAAAAAGACTAATGGATGCTGTTAAATTTACTATTTCGCTTTAGGTCATAGGTCATAATGCTTTTCAATTTCGTCCGTTCTTTCAGGCCCTTATCAAAAAGCATTGATTTTTGCTGATGCCGTTGATTTAAGCAATGTTAAAGTTGCTTTTGATTTCAATTTCAATTTGATAATTACTGCGGCACAGGATTCTGCATGATTGAAAAAAGTGGCACTCGATAGGTGGGATGGCCGTCAAATGTTAGGAAACCGAAATTAAATCTATGGTACGGTTGGAATGGAGGGTGCAATAATCAAGTCTAGGTCACGTATATCAGGCAAATAGTTGTAGGCACTACCCAACTCGAGAAAACACAATAAACTGCCTATGGCTTCCTCACAAACCATTTTAAGTTCTGCAAATCCAATCAAGATGCCGATATTTAGAATGAGCTTACTGAGTTGCGCACCACATAGTGAATGAAGACTCCATATATATGCCTTGAATTTTTCAGAAATGCATTGAATCGTGAAAATGTTCTGCAATTCAATTGGATAAGGATGGGCATCACAATGTTAAAGACCCACAGCTTACTGCTTTGCTAAAATAGAAGAACTGAGGCTGTCAACACGTGCATTAATGACATGCTGTTGGTGTCAAAATAAATGAAACGTGCATATTGTTTGTTTGTGCAGCTGGTCCGGCGTGCGTCAAAGCGGCTGCCGCATTTCCGCCTTAGTTGTGGCTATGTTTGATGCTTCAAATGACGATCGATCCTCAGTTCACTTACCATACAAAATAGTTAGCACACTCATGCTGACTGCAAATTGTAGTTTCACTGACGCTGACGCATTTCATATTAGTTGCTCAATCGTTGATTGCTAGGGCATACAAAGTCTATTCTCAAGTGTCAATGATGAATCGGCCAACTCAACTGCTGATGTTAAATTGTTGGCCGTTTACACTTTATAGTTGATGCTCAAATAATTGATGATTGTGGCGCCGCTGATGGCGCGGCGCTAATTTGATTATCGGCTGCTAGTATTTATGCACATTTGGCATTGATGGGGAGACAACAAAAATATTTTGGATGCTCAGTTAACTCATGAGAATAGACCGGCAAAGTAGTTTGAATGACTGGCCGCCTGCTCTGCTACCGATAACCATTACAAGCTGCCTCGATCGTAAGGCGCATTTAAGTGAAGCTGCTGCAAATGCCCTGGGCAGGATGTGCATCATATTTGCCAATTGTAGACTAATATGTGACTTATGTCGTGAAGGAAAAGCATTCATAATTACATTTTTAGGTCCACTTGACCGGCCTCCGCTGCGCCAAACCGCCTCACGCCGGCACGGATATGACAATGCGAGTTGAGGCTGCTCATACGCATTGATATTGAATTAATAATTTTTTTGATTTTTCATGATATCCAATTTTGCTCACAGTTGACTCATGCTTACTAAGAGTGGTCACGCAAATTCAGCACCTTCGAAGTAATCAACTATTACAGCATTAAGCTAATGATTTTTTCAGATCGGACAACGCGTTTGCATCTAAACTGTTCAAAATAATTTCACCAATTTGGAGATGTTTGACTTGGAGTGTCATTGTCATGTACCTTTCTTTAATGTGCACACATTGACCGATGCACGAGATAATGGTGACATATTTTATGTCAGTGTTGATTAAGGCTTCTGAGGCCATTCTGTGATTATTGGACCTTTTCAGAGAGCACTGCCTCTGATAGCTTTTCCTCTTGCCAAGCGTGGCTGTCAGTTGAATAAAGTCATTCAATGATTATGTAGAAGACAAACAAATGCTGTAATATTGAACAGATTTGGATGCTGTGTTATTCCTAAATCCCCGGACAAGTTAGACCATTCTCGGAAGGTGATGGATGTCTTTCGCCAGGTTCCCTGATGCGAAACGTCTAGGGTGACCGGCAAAATGTAGATGTTTCATGATGTGTGTGGTAGTGTCACGTATTGAAGTCATTTTGACAAAGCAGAACAACTAGTTAAAGTAGCGTCGTGTGCGGGAAGTCAGCAAGCAGTTTAATTTGTCATTGGGGTATCCCCGAGTGTGTTTGTGCTATGGGGGAATGCTGGCCTGCTGCTGCGAGCGACCAAAGTAACACTGCAATTACATCGCACAAGTATTTGAAATTCTTCGTCAATGTAGGTGAGGAATATGTTAACATCATTCAAATGATAAGGAGCGGATTGAGTCGAAGAACAAACAATGCAATTTAAAGACTTTGTTGCATCCAGTGATGACAAATATTCTGTTGTAAATGCAATCACTGGTATTGGTTTTGATAATTTCCGAATTGCTGGAACTAACAATGATCATCTAGCAGATCTTAAAGGGATTGTCAATATACTTCAATTGACCGCAAATCATTCAAGAGATGATATAATGAAGATTAATTGTGCCATTTTTGGCCGCTGGTTGATCTGGTTCAATTACAGTGAAACCACATCTAGCGGAATCAATTCATAAAAGACCTTGCCATTCAACGCTGTAGACACTGCTAGTGTTCAACAGGCTTTTGTTAGTTGGCCGTAATTGTAGAATAGGGCCGGATGGCTTCCGTTAGCTGTTCACAGTCAAGAGAGCAACGGATGATGAATTTGCTACATCGAGATATGTTGGTCGAACTTTCTCTCAATTCTATTATATTGATTTTATTATTAAAGTTAGTATAGTGGTGAGATATAACTCGGCTAGGGTTCATCTTGCAGTTGCAGCATCAAAGTCGTGCGACCTTCATCAAATAAAGGTCATAACTATATTTCATCTCCATGTTAATGACGCTAGGACCTCCGAGAAAGAACCTCTTAGATGAGTTAATGCAGAGTATCCCTTGAACTGGCGAGTCCTGCACAAATATTTTTGAGGAATCAATCAGTCTGTTTATTGTTGGTAGCGGAAGGTGCATAATGATCTCCAATTCTTTGAGTTCCAACTAGTTTAAGTTGAATATGGCGTTTTTAATTCGATCTCGAACAAATACTACCGCGTGCTTGCCTTATTAATGGTTGATTTTTTCATTGCCGGATCATCGGTTTAAATGGCCAAGCTCCTTAGATCATATTTATGATCATTGTTGAAAATGAAAAATTATGCAGTAATTACGGGTCTTTTTGTTGTACTTGATGCTGCTCAATGTAACGATTTTATTTCGCAATAATTGAAATCCGATATCAAAATGGTTTTTCAGCAGTGCAAGCTGGATCAATGCTATTTGCAAGGTGCAACAGTATTCATTATCGCATACACGGTGGTGCATGAATCGGATGAAACTCAGTTAACTGATGAAGATCCATCACATCTGAAATCAATTGGAGGATCGTCGGACATTGGTTCTAGTTGATTTCGGTATGATTGTATCTCTGCAGTTTGGAAATTATGTTTATACATTGGTGAACTAAGCCTGATTCACTTAAGTTGTGCCAAAGGTCGACTAACATAGTTTACGTCAACAAATCTACCTGCTCATTACAAAGGAGCTTCATCGGATTAGATAGATAAAATATGAGACTGTCATTTGGGCTGCATATACAAATGATCAAAGGTCAGATGGTAGTTTGACGTTGTTCATCAATGAAATAGCAGTTACTTTGAACATCAATAACCAGGGTTCGGTGGACTTGCTGACTTCAGCAGGTGACTACATTTTGCTTATTGAAGCTCTCAAAGAAGCCCTGTTCCTAATGGAGGTTTTCAAGTTCTTTGGAACAAATGATAATCGTCTAATCATTGATTCTGAGAAGAATTCGGCTATCAACCTGGCTAACCCTATCACGAATCACAGAAGTCCCCAGCATATTTCAACCAATATTCAATTTTTAAACCGTTTTGCAGTTTATTTACTACTTTTGCAACATTGGCTACCGATTATATATTTGCAAATATAATGACCAAGAAGCTGAGCGCCGCAGTGTTCACAGAATTCAATCATTTCTTTGTACGAATGAATCGTCTCTTGATTTCGTATTGTTGATTGCATTTTTCGGGTTCTATGTCAGTACTATATTTTCATTGAAATTTGCTGGTTCGGCTTCAGTATTAATAGCAGCATACACGACCGATTGTCAATATATATTTTCTACAACCGCTAGAAGTTGATTGTATCACGGTGAGATTGTTTCTTGTCAAAACGTGCAAGTTGGTACTGTCACGTACTTGTTGCTGGTGTTAATAAGAATATTTAGTAAATTTGTCATAGTTTCATTCTTGGTTTTTGATTGATTTTAAGTGGGGGACATGATGGCGGCTTGTACGCTGTTTCAACGATCTGGGTGCTCCCCAACAACCAACCTGCAAATGTGCCTAGCTAACGCTTTTGACATATATTACAAAAGAACCTGCAGAATTTGTGTTTTCATCAGTTAGATGAGTTTTTCTAATGCAACACAGCTGCCTGTTGATCAGAACAGGCATTTCTCTCCCTCCATCATCTTTGATTTTAAATGGCTGGGCCTAAGATTTGATCGAATATTACTCCGTCAGTCAGCGGATCCGTGATAACCTTGAAGTCCACTCACAAGTGCTAATTGATTGGCCAACGCAAACGGGGGCTTGCAGCTTCTGTAAATCACTTGACTAGATTGAGTTATTCGTGTGAACTGCTGCTAGTGGGATAGATCAAGCAGCGTCCCGCAGGAGGAGCAGTGACAAATACTGAGGAACCGGATGCGAAGACGCGGGAAACGCACAACAGCCCCCTTAATTCAGTATCCAATCTTCAGAAGATCAGGTCAATCCATTCAAAAGTATTAGACAAGCTGCAAACCACCGTTTGCGTTGGACATACTATTTCCACGTGTGAGTGGGATTCCAGTTCTTCTCAGATCCGATCACGGACGCTGTGAATTGGTTCAGATCCGATGTCCGGCCATTCGAAGTCAAAGAACTTGGTGTGAGAGAGATGACTGATTTAAAGTACAGGCATGCGCCTTGGTTGAGAAAGACTTTTCTAATTTATTAAGCCACATGGACTGAGTGGATCTTTAGTCTTGTTCGTTCGAACCGTTAACTAGCCACTTTGTTGGGTTGCTTGTTTTCAAAAGCCACTTCTCTGAACCGCTGTTCGGGCTACAATCCTGGACTTCTACATGAAATCGGACGCAATTGGAAAGTAAAAATATCACAAATCCAAGTAGCAAAATCTTGAAATGAATACCCAAATTTTGTTATTATGCCAGTTTGAACCTTTTGAAGAAAGAATGCAAATAAGGTGATGCCCTCAACATCTAACAGTTGTAAGAGAACTATAACCACGGTCAGTGAAACATGTGTGTTTTATTAGTGTCTCATAAGCAGCAAGACGTCTTTCAAGCTGTCTTAAGCAAATGAAACCAAAACGAGCAGAACAACAAAGCCAAAAATAACATTAATTCAATCATAAAGCCAATTTTTTATGGGATTTGAACACGGCAGCGCTTAGTGTTTCAGTAATGATTTCCGCACCGTTGTTTGTTATCACCTCATAGAAATGTATCCGGAACGTTGCAAAACCGTCTAATATACTAATATTTCATTTAAGTATTCTTGCAGCTTTTTTGATTGGTGAGATGGATAGCCAAGATGGTAGCGGAATCGATATCACCATAAATAATTTTCTTATCAACATTTGATGCAATATATTTGAAATTCTCGTTTAGGAACAGGTCTTCGATGACATCTTCAGTAGGAAAAATGTATTCAGCTTTTCAAGTCAGCAAGTCCACCAATCCCTAGTTATTGGGGTTCAAAGTAGCTGCTATTTGATTTATGAAGAGCGTCTATCCACCAACAGATTTTTGGTCATCACAATATGCAGCTCAATTATTGTCTCTTATTCCACCTATCATAAAGGATCAAGCACTTTTGTAATGAGCAAGTAATTGTCTTGAAAATAAATATTTTAGTGCTCTTTTGGCACCAGATAAGTGGATCCGGGTTGGTGCACAATGCTATAAGATTAATGACCCAAAAGCAAATGTACTTTCATACTGCAAACAGCTAGCAGCAACGCCGCACTATTCGCCAATTGATTCTGAAAGTGATGATTTTTCAGCAGTTACTCAGAGCTATCAGATTGATGTAGCATCTTCTAGGGGTTAATCATTATTGGTGTAGCTTGCAAATAAAATTGATCAGTCATATCCTGTTGAGTCACTAGACTCACATACCTCTCCGCAGATAGGAAACTTCTGTTGTAGCGCTGAGCAACATCAATCTTAAGCGAACGACCTACAAACACTGCAAGACATTTCTTTTTGAAGAACGAACAACGATACGATTTAAGCAGTCTGCCGATTGCATCTGATGATTTGCCACTAATATATTTATGCAGTTATAATCCTACAATGCACTAGCGTTTGATGTTTCAGAAAATGAACACACCATTTTTATCTGAACACGTTCAAAATCCAAAAAGATTGGAGAGCAATAAGCATATTGTGGTACCAACAAATGGGAGGCTGCTTGAGTCCATGAATTGATCGGTGCAGCTTCAATCCGTTCGGCAGATCCTCAGCATCAACAAATCCAAGTGGTTACTTGTGGCAGATATTACCGTCGATATTACCAAAAAGAAATCGCTGTTGTCAAATCCATTTGATGATTGTTGAACCACTTTGCTGCAAGAAGAGCAAGAAGCCTTTTAACAAGTCCATATCTAATCACTGCGCTAAATGTGTTAGTATATTCAATACATTCAGCATGACAAAAACCTTCAGCATCAACTCTAGATTTGGCCAAATCAACGGGTTTTGCCGGTTGCATTGTGCACTGCTATCGAAATCCAACACTTTTTTTTTCACATGGACGATCAACCGACATGTAAGTATTGCTCTAAACCAATTCCTCACGCTTTTATCGACAAGCCTGTTTGGCGATTGAGTTTGCGGGAGTTGGATCGACTGAAGTTGCTGTAATAAGGGCACCGGCCAAGTTTTCAGAAGAGACCGGTTGATAATTGTATTTTTTGAATCAACAGTAAACAATTTGAGCTCATCTAGTATGTATTCAAAATCCTTCTTATACTCTTTTTGGCTAACTGCACTGCGGCCGTTATCAGTTTCAGTACCGGTGTTTGACTCAGCAACTTGACTATCATCAATAGCGGATTGAACAAATGTTCTTGAGTTCAATTAATTTATATTGATACCATTTTTCTTGCAATCGTCTGAGCTGATGTCATTATATTATTCATCCACATTCGAGTTATGGTTTACTTAATAGTGTGAAGCAATTGCAGCTTTGTTATTTTCGTCATTGGCAGCTGTTGAAATACACACCTTCAAAACCGCAGCAGCAATGGGGTGTAACGGAAATAGCAGATGGAAATGTTTGCCTATTGCTGGTAAATAATCGATCTTTAAAAAGAAATTTGGTTTCAATAAACGACAAATGGCAATGACAACAACACAGCTGTTATATAAAATATACCTTCACCAGTCCTTTCTACTCCTGTTGTAGTAAGAAAAATACAGGGCACTTCTACACCAAATTTAGTCTGCCTGACTTGTTTGGGGATGAAGGCATAGGCGGCACATCCATCCATCTACATGGTAGCAGCAATTCATTTCCTTAAAATCATTAATTCAATGAAGTAATTATCCGAATGCTTTGTTTGATCGGAATCAAAATCATCAAAATCATTGCGCACGTCACGGCTTCATTCCTGAAATTATCGGGATCACTCGCTTTAATCAGCATTGGTTTGGGTTGTGTGTCTATTGCTCTTTGCCAACGTTCAGCGGCCCCTTTTGGATGAGACTCATATGAAACGGACACATATGTTTGATCTTGTGATTGACAGATTTTTTGAGCAGCTTGGTTGGAAACTCGTTATCAGATCAGAAAGCATGGTCTGTTTTATCTCTAACTCGTTGAGTAGATTTGATATAATATACTAACTTGGCAACTCCTAATGATTTTGTAGCGATTGGATCCGCAACCCGATATTTTCAAAAATCATCATCAATGGCAAAGAAACAATGACGTTCATTAACAGCAGCAACTGGAATCAGCCAAACCGTTTCACTATAAACAGAACCAAAGACAGCAGTGGCTTTTCCTGTAGACGACCTATTGTTGAATATGGCCGTCTTTTTCTTTGGAGAAGCCTCACGTAATGATGCACCAGTAGCCCAAATGGCGTTGACTTTGGCTACAGTTCTTGAAGAAGTCCCAACTTGATTACCTAAACATCCATGGAAGTTTGTAGCAATTAACGCACTAGCGGATGAGGTAACGAAACATTTATGTAATGCTGCTGCTGCTTTTGATCTAGCTGAAGCACAACTCAACTATCCGCTGTCTTGCTTAAATCAAAAGCAGGCTTCATCGTTTAGGCGCAAAAATTGAAATTGGGTTAGCGCCTTGGAGAGCTCTAAACCTATTTTTTAATGTTGGGCCATTCTAATGCATCACAGATGGACGACGTTTGACATCGACAATAGTTTACCCAATATCTCCATTTTGTCGTGATGAGACGTTAGGTCGCTGAACTAATCAGGGTTAGCAGAAATAAGTTGGAACAGACCAGAGTTGAAATAGATCGGTTTGGAAATCAACTTGGGAGTTGTAGCTGGTGTCGGCGACCATGGAATCAGTGATTGAACAATTTTGGGCGCATCCAAAAGCGCTACCGCTGCATAAACATCGGCTGGAGCTGATGAAGCAGCAGCAACAGGCTGTGGCGCCGAACACGCACTAGCCAATTGTCTCTTTTTGTGACAACGATAAAATGTCATTGATTTCCGATTTGGCATTTCGATTCCTTGCTTACTCGCCGAAGCTCACGCTGCTAAACCTGATCTAGCAGCTAATGAAGCTTCAGCTTGACGAATCGCTAGATCCTTGGCATCTTTAATTTTATTTATGAGAAGGCCATTAGGTTGTGTGAAAATCCTTTCAGCGTAGCTCGTGTGAACACCAAAGGCACTTTCAAAAATAACGATGCCTCATTAGCATTGGAGACCTTGGAATTAATGCAATACGATTCACTACAAAATCAATTGTAGTCCCTTATATTAGATGATGTATTTTGCCACTTCCCAGAAAAAAATGACCATGGAATATTAATGGCATTCTCAACTCCAACAGTGCCACAATCCGTCTCCAAATGAACTAGTACTTGACGGCCATACCAACAACTGTGTAGCACCTTTTCCAATAGAGCGGGAGCTAATTAGCCGGTAACCAACAAATTACAAATGGGATGCAAAGCAACGTTATTCGTTTGTGAATAAACAACATCAGCAAAAATATCCGCTTCTTTGATGTAGGCCTGATCATATGAACCGAAATGAGCGTCTTTAAGATTTTAGAGCAAGCCCGAAATAGTAAAGTTAACTGCATTTATTAGTTTCTTTGATTCTTGACATCGAAGATCGGCAATTTAGCCCGTAACCAGTGGTACCGAATCCATGAAAATTCGTTGAGGAAAGTAAGTATCTACTGCAGGGAAACTCGCTGATATGTACATTTGCTCCCTTGGTGGGTGTCACCGGATTGCGCTGGTGACACTTTGAAATCGAACCCAGCTTCCTATAAAAATGCCCGGCTATTCTCTTTACGTTGTTCCATATTATGTATCTATTTACTTTAATATATTAGCATGGATTAGCTACCATTTGTTATACGCCAAATTTCATATCTTCGCTGGCAAGAATCAGAGAAACTAATGGACTCTGCTTACCTTACTATCAGGGCTTGGGTCTTAAATTTCAAAGCAGCTTTTTTTGTTCTGTTGGTTAAAGCTTATATCAAGGCAGGTGATATCCTTGATGAAAATGCTGATTTGCCGAAAGTTGAGGTTCCTTTGGATTCCATTTGCCATTCGTTGGGTACTGGCGGAATAATATTTGCTTTATTGATAAAGGTGTTATACAATGGTTGGTATCGCCGTCAAGTATTACTTAACTTAAAGAAAAGTTTTCGTTCTGTTGGTGTTGAGGTTGCTGTTCTAATGGCCAGGACAATGATTTCTGGTAGGAGGCAAAATTCATTATGCCATAGGAGGAATTACAATAAATTTCTTAATTAATTCTATTGCAATATTTCCAAAGTGTACAATGATGAACTGTTTGCCGCCATCATCTGTGCTGCGTCTGTTATTTAGACCAATTACGCAAAATCGATTGCTACTTATCCTACACACCGTCACAAGCATCCATTTACTGATCTGAAGGTTTGGGGCATCCGGGTTAGTGATGAAGTGATTGCCGGTGGCTGACGCTCAACAGTGATGGTGGCTGTTGATATGAAATGATTCAGCAAGCCAATGCAACAATGAATGATATTCCATCGTTGTCGCAAGAAAGAACATTTGGCTAGTGGGCGTTTGACACCAGAGCCTGTTGTTGCCGCTTCGTTGGTTACAGCCGATGCTTCGGCAGCTTTTCCTATTTTGAGTTCCTTCAATGTTGGTCTGCAGCCGTATGCTTGGTCGTTGAAAATCACAGTGATGTTCCCGTTGACTTCGCAGCGGCTCTACTTTGACTCTGGTGCTAGAAGACATATTAGTGCTAACTTTGATCTGTTTAGCGCCTTCACTTTTCTTTCAGATCAAGATGCCGCTATTTGCCCACAGTAACTTTCTTGTGGACCTCCTACTTACAGTGAATCTTTTGAATGGTGTTTTATTAAAGATTGATAATTATGCTCTCCATAGTGCGAACCAACTGTGATTTTAGCTGCTACTAATAAAAGGTGCAGGGTCTCATTCAAAAATGTTTGCTTCAATTTGAATAGGCCACTGGCTGGTAAACCTTCTGCTTCATGACGTTTGATTATTTAGTCGCCCTTTCAGCTCTTGGGTTAATTACTACAATTGACATCTCTGTTCAGCTCATTCAGATGATAAAGTGGCAAGAGATATATGGAGGTTCCATGGCCATCTTCTGATGGTGCATCAACATGTGAGTTTTGTCAAAAAGGAAAACCGACCAAAATTATTAAGAAGTCGTCTACACAACCGGCTCCCGCTGGTTTTGATCTATATTAAGTTGATATTGTCTGGCCAATTGTAGTATTTTTGGTTAACAAAAATAGTAATTTTTTAACCGTTGTTGATGATCACTATAGTTAAGACGTTGTGGTCGGAATTGGTACATGATCATTTGATGTTGGCAAAATCGTAACTGAAACTAAATTTACTCAGCTGCTACTGGATCAATCTGGCTCAACTGTCAGATATGTGACGATTTTGCATCGAAACTGCTAAAACAATTTATTAATCAGAAGACATCGATCTAGATATATCAGTTTCTTATGAGTCTCAATTGAATGGGGCGCTGGACGTTGGCAAAACCAATAGTGGCAAATGCCAGAACAGTGATAATTAATGTTGATGTTGTGATTAGTTGTGAAATGATGCGGCGATGTGTGCGGTGCTTTCAGCGAGCTTGATTCCCACCAGAAAAGGCCATCGGTTCACTACTACTTTCAATTATTATACAGACGAAAATGAATTGCCGCCAAGTTGAAAATGTATGAATGTGCTTTTTATTCCATGATCCCGAACCAATTTGATCAAACCAAGTTCGATGATACAGCTGTCTTCAGCTCGTTTGTTGTCTACAACACGAGTATCAAGAGGTACAAAGTATACAATCCTGACTCCATTTTTGTTTTCGTGCATTCGTTTTGCCGCTTTGGTGAGTACCAATTGTGTTTCAGGATCCATCAAATGCTGTCAATAGACCATCAACAGCATCTGCTGTTGGTGTTACAGTGATTGCAGGTTGTTTTATGGGGTAGAATTCGTCCGTTGCTATCCATCGATAAAGGCCACACAACTGGAATTGCTTTGGACAAACCATCAAAACCTAGCAGCGAAAAGGATGAAGTATATATTGACAGCAGCTCACACGATGCCGAAGAAAAGACTATTGAAAACAAAGAATTGGATTCAATGGAACCAGTTGCGTCCACTGATGATAATGATGAAGCTGCTGATGCTAACACCGCCGCTGAATCCAATAAGCGCCAACTTGCTGCAGCCAGCAGAATTGCTGAAGGACACCTTGACATTATTGATAAAACTCTTAAGTGATTTACAATTGATTTGGGTAATATTATTGAACACGTGTTTTATTTGAAATGTCTGGTGGCTGCCCTTATTGCCGCTGCTAGTTTTAATCCAAATCCTGCACACTGAATCTGCAAACTTGTTCGTGAACTGGTGTTTCAACCAATCGGTAGAAACAAATCGTAGTTGTTAGTTGATCTTCTCAATCGAAAAAGACATTTTGGCTGTCGTTGGGTGTTTGGATTAATGTTAGAACCAACCAGTGAGCATGATGAAGCCAGAGAAGTTGGGCAGAGGTCTTCTCCGCTTTAAGGTATTGATTGTGGTGAACCCCTTAATCCACTAATGAGGGATAAATATGTTAGAGTCGGTTTTGCCTTTGGGACATCAATGACATTTATGGTTCATCAAATGGGTGTGACGCCTGTGTGCCTTCATGGTGATATCGAGGCTGAGATTTGCAAGAAACAGCATCCAGGATTTGATAATGTCGTCTATGCTTTGAAAGTTTGCAAGTTGGGTAAATTTGTTTATGGCGCCAAACGATCTGTTTTTTGCTGGTCAAAGAAAATAGTTGATCCTCTCCGATGGCTTTAGTTCCAGGGAAGTTCAGATAAGCATTCTGTGATTGATCTTTAAAACTACATACACCACTCTACGCTTACATTATATTGGGATCATCTTAGTAATGGGGGAACATGAGAAACAATGGTAACGCCGGTTAAATACAATCTCAAATCAGTCTTTAAATAAAAAGACATGGAGTAGTTCTCCGTTATTTTCATCGACTTGATGATGCTCAAGATAGCAACGTTCCTTCTGTATCTACGGATACCTACTTCAGAACGGTGGTTCAACGATTTAAAATGGATGAATTTGATGCGCAGGTGACACCAATAATGTTTGGCTTATACCAGAAGCTGGGTGAAACCGAAGGTTTTGAGTTCGATGGTGAAGATTCATCACCTTCCAGTTGAATTGTCGGATAGTTGGCTTTTTCGGCACAGCTCTTACGGGGTGATATTGATTTTCTTGTTGGGTTTCTCAATCCAAATTTTGGTGGACAATGCCAGCTCAATCTAAATTATCTTAAATGGTTAATAGAGTGTTGAAACGCAAAGCCAATGTCACTTTATTACGAAACTGCCTCATTAGTTGACTTAGTTTGATGCTCTGACGGTGATAGAGATGGACAGGTTGGCGATCGAAAGTCAGATGCTGGTCATAAGATCTTCATTGATTAAAACTCTGTCACTTGGAACAGCATGAAGGTGGCTTCAGTGGCTTTGCAAATGTGCGGAGCTGAATGCTTTTCACTCGCTCAAGAAGTCAAACAAACTGTGTTCCTAGTACATCTTTTCAAAAATATTGGTACTATTTATTACAAGCCAATTATCTGTTGTGGTAACAATTCTGCTATTAAGATGGCTAATTATGTCACCAATGTCAGAAGCTCCAGGCATATTTCAAGCAAGTAAGTGATTATAAACGGTCGTGCTATTTCGCACTTACTCTTGAAAACGTTGGTACTGAAAGCAATGTTCCTAATATGTTCACTGAATTACATAGCGCTCCACAGTTCAAATACCTCAATAAACTGCTTTCATAATTCAATTGTGGCTAGTTATGAATTTGTTGCTTACGTCGTCTTCGATTTTTCAGATGGTTTTTTGATTGATTTCGTTATGGTGATGCCGCTGTGTTGTTATTCAATTGAGTTACTTACTTTGAATATATTTCCATTTTATCGCATAGAATGAGATTGTATCTCATGTCTTTTTCTACTTTGACAAAATGTTGAAGATCGCATTGTAAAGTACATGCTTTTGCATTTCATTTGATTATTCCTCGATTATTGTTTTCTTTCTTAGTTCATTTGGTTTCAATTATATGAAGGGCCCCATGATTGCAGCGCAAAAAATGTTTCAGAAAAAAGTCTTATGAGGGCCAAACGAACTAACGAATTGGCCGGGTACCTTTTTGTCGCACAACGCAAACAGCAGTCAATTACATAATGCTTGAAACGTAAAGTAAGCCATCTTAGTTTAACGCAGAAGCCTTTATTTTACGGACTCCCTTCCTACTCATCCCAAGTTGATTTCTGGTAGAATACCGTGGTCGCAATTTCAACCAACATTACTTCGTCCGTGAGCGGATTTGTAAAGACCACGTTCCCACTTAATTTTCGCAACCGCTCTGTTAACGCAAACGGATCATCGCAACATCTATTAAAATTTTGACTACGTTGACGCCATCGGCAGACGTCTGGTTACTGGGATAAGGGGGCATGTTGTGAACCCTTTGATGTCTATCTTTGGTCTCTCGATATCTCTGACCAGCGTGGCCATTTGATGATCCACGTTTTACTTTCAAGGTGCAACAGCGATGACGACTAAGTCACTTCAATACCTACTTACTGGAATTAATGTTTCGAGACAATTTTCCTTTCAAACGGAGAGCATCTTGGAGCAATTAAATAGGCTTTTGGCAAATCAACAGTCGGAGCTAGTTCGATTGTAAAGATGTATCTGTAGCAACGAAATTTTTGTCCAATTTAAAGATCCATCTTCTGGTACATATCGTTATCATGCATCCCTTGAAGCATTGATGGGCAAGCCACATCTTTGATTGGGTGTGCAACATCTAATTTACCGATGCAGCGGCAATAGGGGCAGCAGCTAGATATCATTTATTAAATAAGTGCCAAATGTTATTTTGGCAATCATTTGAAAAAGATTAATTAATTTCTCAAAGTCATCAACGTTTTTGGAAACACCCATTTTGCACCAGCAGGATGGTCCATTGTTGACTCATCACTATGGTGAGCTTTGACCCCCTGCGTATTATTAACTGTGGATTCATAAAACATCTTTGAAGTCCATTGTTTGCGACTGACACCATTTTTCTCGTCATCATGAGGACGGATTTCAATACACTCGTTATTGTTCAAGATGTTTTCTTCGATGAATCACGTGAAGCATTTGAAGTTGACTTCTGTTTGTTATTGTAAACTGCTGACAAGAATATACCAAAAGATTAGCCGAGATGAAAGTAACATCTACGGCATATAAAATTGCTACAATATCGGCGGCAAACGATGCACCCTTAAACAACAATGATAATTCTTCAAGGCAACAGAAAACCCTAGAATAAACCGAGTTGTTATGTGGATTGTACACGATGTCGCCCTTTCTACGCATGTGATAAGAATCAAAACGCCGAAAAAATTTGTATCACCTCACTTGATTTTTGTGATTGGTTTCATCATCGTTGAATAACCAACACATCCAACACCTTCAACGTAGCCGTAGTTGATTGTTTTCAATATGGTAATTGGAAGGAGAGGTCAATCCAGCACCATGTTTAAAATGAATCAAAATTCATCATCAACACTCCATAGATATTCCTTGATTTAACAAGAATTCACAATCGTTAAATTCAATGAGCAAAGTGCAGGCCTTCACAACCGTTTTTTTTTTGCAAAGTCGAGCGACCACACCTGAATGTGACACATTATGAACAGTTATTTCAAGTTTCATTTTTTCTGTGTCACACCTATTGTTGGGCAGCTTCGAGGCGAACCGCTTGGCTGGTTGGTCAGAGTAACTCATCTTAGCCAATAATAATTAAGTAAATCAAATACGGTATTCGAACCTCGGAAGAGCTGACTAAGGTGTAAAAATCGGGGCAACATATACATATTTTAAGTAACCATCATTAATGGTGAAATACAAGCAACAGACTTCAACAGCAACAACTGTCACTTGCCGAAAAATTTCCGCAAAACGACGACTGAAGAAATGACTAGCCGGTTATGTAAATGACTGTTTAATAATGTTGGGTGGCTCTTCTTTTGAGACAAGACTCACATTCTGAGCTGCCAACAGCAGAGATGACATCGATTTTGGCTATGCTTCCTGCAATCGTCTCAGCATGATGACCTAATCGTTGATGCCAATTTGTAGTTCTTTACGCAAACAGTGATGGTGCAACAAGTCACTCATATAATTATGTAGCGGCCCTCCTACCAGCCAAAACACCGGTAATCTAAGCACAAACAGCTTTAAATATATAACAGGCCGTTTCATGAGTAGCAGCTGAGATTGAAATCATAGTTGTGCCGTGGGGAGCCTACGGAACTGCTGGTAGCAATCCATTATTGAGAAACATCACTGTAGCAATACCATTTCCATTGACGGTAGTTTCACCATTACCAGCAATGTCAACTGATTGAATACCTTAGTTGCTTAAAGAATCAGCAATGGCAGAAATATGTTGAAACGCCGCAGAATGCAGGTGAAGCATTTGGCAGTTCATGAACCACTTGCCAGAATCGTTCAACATCCCATCATATCCAGGATCATCAGCTTTGGTGACAGGCTGGACGGCTCCCCAGCAGAACTGTGTGCTGCTACTGATGATCCGGCTGGAAGCGGCCGCGGTGTTAAACACTGACACGCCCATTGTCTCTCGTTGTGACAACGACATTGATTCGTTGGTGTTTGATTAGACAACTTCTACTGCTTCTCACCAATGGGACTACCGCTTTAACCACCAACCACTACTAAAATCATCGACAACATGATGGTTAACCAACACTTTATCATCTCTAAGAATAATTAAGTGAGGTCCGTAAATTGAATAAGAGTTATGTCCACATAGGAGGTTGCAAAGGCGAAATCAGCATAGAAATTGGGTGGATCTGAGTTATCGTTCGTGACATTAGAAGTACTGGAAAAAAATTCTTTTGAAAAACGTATTGCTATTTTCTTGTTGAAAAATGCATTTTGTGTCTTAACAAAGTAGATCTTTGTGCATTTGATAAGACAAGCTTGAACACCGGTAGTCTCTTAAAGCTTTTTCATATTAACTTACACATGACGCACACTCCACCGATTGTAGAGGAATTCATTGAATACAGCCGATTCAAATTGGGCAGTATCCAACGAATTGCATATAATCTTTAATGCAACCTTGATTTGTATCATTCATCATTATCAGCAAAAATATCATATTGATTGATATACGCGTGATCCAACAGACCAAACTGGGCAGCATTGTTATTTAAGACTAAACCTCAGATGGATAAGGCTTGCGACGACTAGTAGGAGTTCTGATCCTTACCTGCTAGCACTATCAACGTCGCTGATAATCTGATGTAGCGAATCCATGTTAGTTTTTCAAAGTCAAGAAATATATATGATTCGTGATCGTGGAATGGATTGCCACCGTGATATGTAAGCGACTGGGATATATTAAAGAGGGACACCGGATCCAACAGATGATACACATCTAAGAACTGAATGTAATCATTCCGCTGGCTCACAGCAGCCTAGTTAACGCTTTAAGCAGATCTCACCCGACTTGGTGAATGTTGTCGAATCTTTTACAAATGCTGCGCACGACCGTTTGCAAAGGCAAAACGGATACCAAACGGAATTCCCAAACGATGTTTGAGGAGATCGGCTCCGTGCCGCAGTAAAGTTGGAGTTATGTCAACCGCAACGGACCCAAAAAAGCATCTTGGGGTGAGAGCAATGGGTGTTTTTGTGATACAGACGTCTGCATCGCAGAAGGAGAGCCTTTCTATGCATTGAAGACAATACCCTCTTAGATCGTTACTTGCCTTGTGCGTCTGTGGCCGAGCACTCACTTTTCAGAACCGCTGTTTCGGTCGTAATCAAAAGTTCCTATATTAACTGTAAATCAAATGCACAATAATAAAATAAAAAAATCAAAGAAAATACAAATCACATTGAAGTGCAAGCAGTATGTGATAACAATTTGAACTTTTGCAACAGAAGAAAATTGCTGGTGCTACAAAAACACTCTATCGGTAGTGAGAGTACAGTCAGAGCAATTAGTCGAACCGAGGGCTCAAAATTTCGTGGCTTAACCTTAAGAAATCTATCACTCAATACTGAACGGCTAATAGCAGTTCGACGTAAAATCGAAATCCAGTACCATTTATAAAGTAATAAGTCAATTGAATCATCGAAAAATTTCAACGCACCAGTGCTCAGGTCTATATTTAAAACATCTGCCACATTGCTTTCAGTTTTAACTTTTGCTAGAGTAAATTCAGCGTTGCACATCAAGCCGGGACAACGGTACCTTGTTGGCAATATGGATTTAAGCCATGTGATTGGTTGGTTGGTCCGGCACCTTGATCGCGGAGATGTTATCACAAATAATAATCTGCTCCTAAACATTGGTATCAATGTCTTTCAACACCCGAAATGAAAACACGGTCTCCTTGACCGATTCAGTGATCCAAATGAATTGTGCTCAGCAAGTCAGCATGGCCACCAAGGCCGGCCTCATTCTGTTCCAATCACTTGTCTTTGATTAATATGAAACATATACTTACCAATTGATTGTCATTCACTAACGATTTCAACCCAATCACTATCAACCGATCTAGTGAACTCCGCTGAATACACAGCATTGTGATGATGAGCAAATGGATTTCACTTAAAATATCTCATGAACTGTTTGACAGCACCTAGGTGGCTCGGGATTTGGGAAACAAGATATCAACTGAGTTATCGAACAGTAAATTCAATAGCATTCTCTAACTAATGAGCGGCACAAACCGTGGTTCCACGAATTAATATGTAGACTAATCACTTTTCAGTATCCAACTCAAACCTTCTGATTGAAGTAGGAGTTTAGATTAGTTAATCTTCATTGCGTTTGTTTTCACATCAGCCTCAATGAAGTCAAAAATTTCAACAATTAGTTTGAGGTAGATCTTCATAGAAACGGCAATACTTTCGTTACTCTGCGGCGCTTTAACCTTCAGAACTGAGCTAGTAAGTAGGCAAAATTTTTCATTTTGAACAGGGAGAAGACAGCAATTTTGACCAGCTTCGCCATTGTGTCTGATCATCCGGCAATATTAAATATATTGACCTATGGACCTAGCATTCTCTGCTGCTTAATTTTGGAGAAGTGCAAAACAGCTTGTTCCGTTGAAGGTCGTTGAAGCTCAAAACATCCCGCAAAATTTAGTATCTTCTTGTACCAACAAAGACGAGTTTGATGGAGTCCTTAAATTGATTTGTGATACTTTGGAGCATTGAAAGGCTTTCCAGCGCTACGAAATTCAAAGTAGTGCTTTACGAGATTTTGAACGTCCATCCGACTATGAAAAACAGCAGATACCCCATGGATTCGATGACCCATTTTTGGCTTTGATGCGGTAGGAGGAAACGGAATCTATGACTCTCTCACCTGATGACCTGGGAGAATGTTTTATTATAATCATCCCTTTTGACTGAAGAATCCTTTTGAGGAGCTAGACGGGCCTGAGCAAAAAGACCAATTAGTGGTGAGTTTACTATAAGCAGCACACGACAACTAACATATTATTTTCAGGGGAAAGTTAATGTGCAAATTAACATTGACTCCAAGAATATGCTTGCAATGATCCTCGGCACCCAACATTGAAAATTTGGCTTAGACACACTGGTCTAGCTCTAGTAGCGACATTAAGTCCCGCAGCCAAATATTTCAAAGCTGATCTGCGGTTAATGGTTTTTATAAAATGATCTTTAAATGAATTATGTACGACTCCAATCTTATTACGACTTCCTTAATGAACCTTTTTGGATTTAAGAAGTTGGTCCATTTTGGGCTCAGCAACAGGGTAGGCATCACTACCCAGATTAATGGTGTCTGTGGACTGAAGAGATTTCTCTGAATTCTATGTTTTTCTTTGTCATTATGTGCAGCTTCACCATCTCAGCTCATATCACTGTAGTAATCATCATTATTGAAGTTATTTTTTGACGCATCATCCGAGGCAACTGGAATTGTGTGATCTGCGTCTTTGGCAGCTGCGGAGTAATCTCTCTCTCTGTAGCAGCAGCAGCAATAGGTTTTCTTTCAGAGAAAATGGATTTGTTCGTTAACTTTCAGGCGAGGATCGCTCTTCAAAACCAATTTTAGTCTCATGAACTCAAGAAGACGAACTGACAACAGCAAAGCTCGTAGCAAGAAAGCACACTCTATTCCCGTTGCTAAATATTGCATTGGCAACAGAATCACTGAGACACTTGTATCATCCAAATTTGGATTACTTGATTTTTTTGAGAAGCATTTCATAACCGGCGCATTGAAACATTTTCAAAATTGCAGGATTTGGTATTTCGGAACAAGCTATGTGAGGATGTGTGGAGAACAATGCGCCATCATTGGGCAGTATTAAATTGATCAGTAGCACTGCGCACATGGCTGCATCAAGCCTCAGGGAATAAAGAGGATTAGCTCAAATGTTCATTGTACTGGTCTTTTCATGATTTTTCTTCGATGACTTTCAGCGATCCGAAGTTGATCAGACCAACAAACAACACAGGTCTCTTGATTGTTTTTCTACTTTCACAAAACTGCTTAATGATCCTGGATGCGAACTCCTTGTCAGAGATAACAGTATAATCCATTTTATCCAATGACCCTCGAGAAATTCAACATTAATACACTAACCAGGCATCAGCAATTGACCGTGTGGAGATTGCAGCAACAAAATACGTCATTAGCAGTCATCAACACTGGCAAAACATCACGGCAGTAGTAAAGCGCAACATGCACCATCGGCCCATCAATATGAACATAAAGAATAGAAAGAGCAGCTGTGGCCTGAATTGAAAACGCCATATTAATAGTTTTGGTCTGCGGGTTGTTTTGACGTGAGTCACATTTTGATCCCCAGCCGCAGAAATGCATATGATTCTGGATATATCTCATGCAAGGTTTTCACCTGGATTAGTTGAACACTGATGCCAATTCGTACTAACCAACGCAAAAGCAGTTGGGAGTGGGTTGACATTGATATATGGTTGATCTTGCTTTCCTACCTGCCAATGCTCTATTCACATAATGACAATGAAGTGTGATTGAGGACAATGCCTCATTGTTGAAGGAGCTGAGAATGAGAATGAATTTGCAGCATAAGGAGGATAGGGTACATTCATTGATAAACCACCTTTGAGAAACAACACACTACCATTATTTTTTAGTGCAACGCTAGTGACACCAGTAACATCAATATAACCTAAAAAGAAAGTTATGCCGCAGATCTAATCAAAGTTAGCGGCAATAAGCAGAGACCCATCAGAAGGAGAGTACAACCGATTGCAAGTCATCATGACTCTTCTATTTACCTTCTACCACTAAGCAAACTGCCACTCGTCAAATTTAGGGGTACTCAGAGGATACCACAGCGGCAGCAGGCCGTGATGCCAGACACTAAAAAGCAAGTTGGTTTTTAAAGTGACAACGTTAGCTTCTGATTCATTTCCGTCTTGGCTTCTTAAACTGCTCTAGACCAACACAGCCTATCGCTGTTAAATTGGAGGTTGCAGCAAGTTCAGCATCACTAAATTGATTGGCCAAAACTTTTTCATTCCTGAATGTAATTCGGTGAAGGCCTGCAAATTATGTTAGAGCCCCTTTGGCGTAGCTAATGTGGGAAGCAGAAACAACTTACTGAGCCGCGGCAACTTGGTCAGCATTGCCACGTTCAAGATATTGCAATAAAACTCCTTAAGCAAATTATTGTAGTCACAGATATTGGATAAGATGTTTTCCCATTTACCAAAAATGATTGTTCTGCTCATACTAATAGCAGCCTCAACACAACTAGTTCCATAGGACTTACACTAATTAAGTGATACCTGACGGGGATCGCACCCATTTTTAGCACCTCTTCCAATACTGCAAATCCAATCCACCAATAACCAATGCATAAAATATGGAATCCCAAGCAAGCTTCACTTTCTTAGCATGAGCATCTTAAGCAAAGATACCACGTTGATTGACTAATGCATGAGCCTGCGGAACAAATTGAGGGGCTTTAAAGCTCAGGACAGGAGCCCAAATAATCATGTTAGCAGCATTCAATTGAGTCAGTGATTTTTGCCACGCAAAAGAGGCAATTTGGATCATATCCTGTTTTAGCTAGCACAAAAAAATATATCAAGGCTAAGCAGTATATATCAACCAAAAATTACAAAAAAATCAAAGCCCATTTAGAGGGAAGTGGGCTAGCTCATATAACGTCGGGGCAGCGGACCGCTGACCAATACTGAGGAACGGAATGTCAATAACTGGCTGGCTATAACAAACGATTATCAACAAAAGAATAGTATTGAATGGCCCGTCAAAGTCAATCGACAACTACTCAAACTCACTAACTTGGAAAAGATCAAATTGCTCAAAAGTTTTCGCTAATCCACTAACGATCACTGGATTGAAGAAAAAATTGCAAAGCAGCTGATATTGCTAGTTGTTGCGTCAGTTGGATTCTGGACAATGGCTATATTTTGTATTTTAATCAAGTTAAAACTAACGACGACGGAAAGTAGTTGAGAAACAAAACTCGTTTTTAGAACCTCAATTGAATCAACTCAAATGGTGGTGATGAAAATATTGGTGAAGTCGCTGCACAGATCTACAAGTTAATACTAGCCATATATGATAGTATTTGACGGGTTTCAACATCTTTCTTGGGTAAATGAAATTTAATTTCATTTTGGGATGTCGAGGAAAATAGCTGAAGATTTCAACCACATTGACGACATGGATCCTCATTTAGTTCTTGACCCTGGCGCTGCAATCCTTTCTACCAACTACAATTGTCTGCTATCCAACATCAATCAAGCATTCCAATTTTTGAAGTCAATCATGATGATTTTGGCAATCTAAAAGTTCTGTTGAATTTGGTTAGGCAGGACGATTGAATAGAAACTTCACGCTTAGTGCGCCAAGAAATACTTAATTACTTCGAACATTTGCTGAAGCAAATTCACACGCTAAAATTGTCAAACCGAAAACGTTCTTGATGATCATCGATGAGACCTTGGCGGATCAGTTTAACAGAAACAAAAATATCAATTTTTTCTACTAGACATCTGTTGACAGAAAAAATATTTCTAAGAACAGCGTGGTTCAATGTTATTTATAATGAAATTGTTGATTTCGCATTTGATTAATTCAAAGTCTTATGAAATAGTAAATAGTGGAGAGACACCGTGAATAATCTTTCCGAGCATGCCAACAGTCAATATCGGTCCAGAAAAAATCACATTTCAAATTATCTAACAAAATGAGAGCAGTCGTAGTTAGAGATTATATCGCTGGTCAATCGCATTGCCCAATGGGCAACCTATATGGCTGTTAAAACGTAAATGTATTTATTGTAAATCGTTCTAAACAATAATTGTTGACTATAATTTAGTCTGTATTTCGACTGAATCTTGTTTTGATAAACATCTTCAATTATATATCTTTTGATAAATACAAGACCATATAAGTCAATAAAAATTTATTAAACATTCAACATTTCAAATAAGTAGTAATGTTGGGTCAAATGATTTACTTTAAAGTATGACGTAAACCATCGACAATTACAGAAACCGTCTTAATGTATGAAAGGGTTAAACAAAGGAATATATCCGTATTGCTTCGTAAAATTTATCATTGCAACTTTTGACAAATAATAAATGAAGTATAAAAGAAGAATGAATGTCGTTTATTTTTAAAAGAAGAATGATAAATATATGAATGGAATATCTTCAAATAAAAGTAGAATGTCCGTAACGAAAAATTGATAAAGTATAAATATGAAAATCAAATGACTTTCACTAATAATAAATACAATCAAAGTGAATTAATGGCAACTGAATTCATATACTTAATTTTCGTTTCAATTCTGAAAAATAAAAGTTGTCGAAGTAACAATTATGGCAAACGAGGCAATTGAAATGAATGTGAATATAAATTCTAAAGTAAAACATAGAAAGGTAATTAAATTGATTGTTCTCGCGCACACAAATTGTAATTTCGGTTGTAATTTCAACAAACAAAACCGAAGTGATTTGATAATCTACCAATAGTTTGAATTGAATTAGCATCAATTAAATTGGTAAAGTGGTACGCGTCACTGTATTTTGAATTGTCATGACCGAGTAAGATATGCTGATTAGAAATCGGTTCTCCAATAACATGATAGTAAATTTCGACGTGGTTGTATTGTTTAACTTTGAAGCTGTATATCTTGAATTATTTAAAAAAGTATTTGATTGATGAAATTTGATATCTTACTGATTGCTATTGAGTTTTTGATAACATACTGCTGTAAAATAACTTTGGATGGATGTAACCACTATTGAAAAAAAGAAACATTCAGCTGCTGCGGATATTTCAAAGAAATCTAATAAATGTGACTCAAACATTTATCAGGATTGTTAAACGTGGAATATCTTGCATTGAGGAAATGTCTTACAATATGAGGAATTTAAACAAAAAAACCGATTTTTCTATATCATTCTAGAAGTTGTTAATTGAATTACTGTAAGAAAAATTAGATAATGGTCAAATGTGAAAATAGATTAGCTTTTGCTAATGGTAGTTAAAATTTTAATGTAAAACTGAAATGACATACTCCAACATTGGATAAAGTTAAATGTAGAAATTTAATTATTCAAAGACGAAATGAATCAAAAATGAAAGTAATGAAGGATAAGAGTTCAATTGAAGTAATCATTTGTCAAAGTTCGGAAGCAGAGGTTGCGACACGACAAACTGTTGAAAACGTGGAAATTTCAAATGAACTCAAAAAATAGTTAGAAAATGAAAAATTTCATGCTGATGAGATTGAGTAATTTCACTTTTTTAGAAATTGTAATTTCTATTGTAACTTGATTCAAATTAAATTGTTTAATTTAACATTTTGACAAGAGTTTGATCTTTAGTTCTATGAAGTTACTTGATAAGAGAGTGAGTGACATTGTCTTCTGTACTGTTAGAAGTAGATTATATTTTCCTATTCCAAATAAAATCTTTATTGAGATGGTACGTAGTATTGATGTGGTTGAATCGGCTTTGTGAATAAGGATGGCAGTATGCAGCTATCAAATTTTGCTCTCTTTGTCTTTTTCATTTTCCTGTAATTTTCGTGTTTCATTCAAACTAGATCTGTTGCGACGATATTCTTTTTTACCTCCTCTACATTAAGTATTGAAACTGAAACAACTTTTATAGGATCCTTGACTATTGTTTCTTCATCGTGTTATAGATTTCAAGATATGTTATTCGGTTATCGTATTTCAGCTTCATGTGATTTTAGTAAAGAATATGCAGATACGATGCTTTACGTTGTTGTGAACGATTATGATGTTTTAATTGAATTCATTGCATCTCAATATTATTTTTCTTAACATAAATAATTTTGTTCGAACATTCAACATATTTCTGCTCGGACAATCTAGAAAAATTTGTTCTTTTCAATTTATTTTTTATCTCCAGCATGAGGGGCCCAAATAAAGCCCACATTTCTAAACAATTTTCATTATTGGTAATAGTTACACAACATAAAGATATTATCCGAAACCAGATACAAATAAATCTTATGTTGAATTATATTAATAAATTGGATGATAAAAGAACTTACAATGTTCAATGATTTTAAAAAATTCATACGGTCAACTCAATCAATGAAGATCAATAGGTCTGCGACGGGTGCTGATTGGTCCTTGTTTACAACATCGTTTACCACTAGAATTGCTAACCTCGCTGATACTAAAGGTTTCAACTTGATTGGATTCACCGCTGCTACTAACGTGTGTTGAAGTCCAAAAGGAATACCTGATACTGTTGACCCAATAATCGATATTGCTTTTGAGTCCAAAGTGATTGGAAATGATGATGAATACAGTTGTATCGAAATTTTGATTTTGATAAATCTAAAATCAACGAGTATAGAAAATTCAGAAAAGGTTGAGTTTCTTAAGAACTTATTAAAGCCATTAGTTGATCCACAAAATCATATTGAATTCAATAGGCACATTAAAATGATTTCAGCTCATTATCCACGATGTTGAGTTAGTACTTTCTCTGCTGCTTTTCTCAATTTAAAACCAACGTTGAGAAAAAATAACTTTGAATCAATAGTTTGAATGGCATCGCATTTGAACTTAGTGAAAAAATGCCACCATTATCAAATCATTGCATTCTCAGAGAGATTCATGACTGAAAAGGAAAAAGAGTTCCAAACAAATCATCAGAATCAGTTTAACAGAGGAATGGCATTGAGGCAGGCAATACTATGCGAACTACAGTTAACTGCATCAACAATGGTGCTTTGGTGAACCTCTCTAAATTGCCGAACACCAAAAAGATATCATCTCTATCAAAGAATTGAATTGATTCAGAGTGCAGTTAACTTCAAAAATATCTTTGAAAAAAAATAGAAATCAAAGTCTGAGGGGGCTAAATGAAATGTTGATCATTGTACAGTTCAATTGGTTCTCGTTTCAGGTGAAGAACTTCATTATGTAAGCAGTGCTGCACTGAGTCACTGTCCGAAGGACGGAACCACTTCAATCATTAGTGACAGTGCTGTTGATATTCGTCCAACTGAAGCAGCTGTTATTGAATGTTGACGCACACAGTAAAATTGCAGGCTGTGGACAAACCCACCAAGTAATATTCTTAGTTTTGCTAAAAACGCTGAAAATAGTTGGACTCCTCTGGTTGAAAAAAGCATAATATCAAATATCTTAGATGATTTGATAATGCTGAGTGGAGGAAAATCAATGAATTTTGGTTCGTCAGTTTGATATCAGTTCAAAATGAGATGCTGCTGAACACTGAGTGTGATTTCCATCGAGATTACAAAATGCATGGTCATTGCTTTTTTAATGACATCAATACCATAACATAAATGAACGCACTCCTTGCAAACTTCAAGCCCATTAACTCTAGGAGAAACTTTCATTTGGTGTCTAAACAAAATGCAACGTTTAAAGTATCACAACTGAAGAGATTTAATTGCCTGGCACAATATCTCTGAGGATGTAACTGCCCAATTATTTGTTCTTATAAATTGAATGTTGGATCCTTGAATCATATTACATTGTTTGTCAAGTCTTTCGTTCAAATCAGATGCGGCTCAATAATTAATTAATTCTTTATATGTATTGCAAAGATTACCTTGTTTCACAACTAGATCATCGTGCTGTATCAAAGCAGATAATGAATTTAATACAAATATGTTTAAGAGTTTCAGCAAACAGAAGGGTAAATCAGAGAAGTCACCGCACCTCATTGCTCCATATCAAATAAAGAATTGATAGTTTGAACAAACTAGCCCAGAACAAAAGGAACAGCCAAAATTGATTTTAAAATTCGAAATCAAAACTGGAACTGGCATTGAAACATTTGATCGTGATACAGAATCATATTCCCATAACCAAAAGCTAAAGATCGCCAATAGAAGTGCTTTGGGAAATTTCAGAGAATGTAAAATATTTTAGTTTTTTTGGTGCTTACATGTTGACAATTATTCATAACGGCAGCCAAAAAATGTATAAGAAAGTCATTAACGGCTCATTGTGTGAGTTGAGTTTACCACACCAAATTTGTTCTATTGTGGTCAAGAACTGCAGCAAAAATATTCAAAATAATTTGATTACGATCAGTAAATCAATTCTAACATTTGGTTCAAATAATTCAAAACTAGTTGTAATTGCTGAAGCTTAAAAGCGCTTCAAAAATAATTTAGCAGTTTCTCGAACCCCCTATTATTTTTAGATTGTCCTCTACCATTGAACTCAACATTCAAGCTTATCAATAATGAAAAAAATATTGAAATAGAAGAAGCATTTCCCAAAGACATTGCTTCTTCCTCTATGGCCAAATCACCAAAAAAATTACAATGGAAGGCTGTTTATCTTTTTGAGGATTTGTCCAATTAACCTGCTACTAATTCAATAAATGAATCAACATTAGTCAATGGTGTGGTTGCGGAAAAATTATGTGATTCTGACAACAAATTAACGGTCAAACTCAGACGAACTATGTACAATACCAAACATCCTATGAGCCACCATTTGAACATGATACGATATCGTTTTAGCTGAACACTATGCTTTATTAGTGAGATTGGTGACACCTTGGATCGTTTGAGAACTTTACCGATTTCCAATGAAGCTGAAGCTCAACTAACCGAATATCTTCCTAGCGTAATTGAACATATATTTGGAGTTTCACTATACTGAATGCATTTTTTTGTGGATGAAGCGGCGCATTTACTGCTATCAAAATCAAAATTTATCGTTCCAACATTCTTCTAAGATCTTATAACAACGCCACAATTTTTAAATTGGTTACCTAATATGGGAAATGAAATAGATTCGATTGAACAAAGCGATGTTTATTTATTTGTTCCACGACCATCAGCAAAGAGCAAATTACACAAAAGAAAATGAATATTTCAGGATAATCTTAAAGCAACTGGATCTGAAAAATATACGGCAAGATTAGGTGAAATACTTTTTCAGGATGAACTTCGCCATTAGTATATTGATGCATATTATCCGGTTATGAACAATAACACTAGAAGATTGGCGCATTAACTAGCTGGCTTTGACAACTTCAATATCAGCGACTTGGATGCCAAGCCCGCTATCTAGAGTTGAACAATATACTCTCCATTTCATTTTGATTCTCCTGCGAAAACTTTTTCATCAATGAAAAAGGGTTAAAACACGAAAAACGGATTTTACTGTTTGAAGCAAGGCCCATTAATTTTATTCAATACAATTAAAGATGTTCTCAAAGGCCGCCATAGCTGCTCATGAAGTTTGTTGGATCCATCTTTAATCCACAATTTATGTTGTTCAATGTGCATTTACGTTCAAGATATTTTATTTGCCGGGAAATCAACAAATGATATTGAGATAGCAAAGCCATTACTTATGACAATCATCAAATAACAGATGTTGAATCACCAAAAATAGTTGTTTGAGTTAATTTTGAGCAGAGATAAAACGGATATAATTTTTCTTCAATAGGCTTTATTTGAGAGTTTTAATTGGATTGATTCGCATAAATATTAAAAGAAGTAAAGACGTCTTTTGCGGAAGCATTTGGAAATGCTGTTGAGCTAACCATCGTAGTTGCTATTGATTATCTGAAGCATGAATTGATTTTTGTCACTATTTATCTTAACCAAGAAACAGTGAATTATGCTATCTCATTTTGGGCATTCAGGTCAAATCAGACATCTTGTCAGTCCATTAAAACATCATTTATCTGGTGTTTTCAGTGTGTTACAATATGTTTGTCAATCATTTGACTTGTCAACTCATGAAGACGATAATGGCACTCAATTAATTCATAGTTATTTTAAACTTCTTCACAAAAGTGAATATAAAACAAATAAAATTATTTTCTGGAGGCACTTATTTCCCTAACAGATGATAGTGAGTGTGGTTGGCAAATGATATATTCACAAGAAAATGTCAAAGGGGCTACTTCACAGCGTGAAAAAGGATCTTGCTTTTATGGTCCTGTAAGAAACAATCACTTGTTGCGTTGTCTTGTAGTGAAAATAAATATTCTTCTTTCACTAATCCAATGTGGAGTTGATTATTCTTTCAAATCATAGTAGATGACCTAAGAACACAAATGGCTTTGATATATGAATGTGATGATAGTCACCTAATAAGTCTTTCATGACATCCTTACACGCATACGCAATCGAAGGCTATTGATTCTATATTTCATTTCATCGGCATACTTATTCTTAATAGGGAGAGAAAAGTGAATTATACTATGATGAAAGACATGGATATTGACAATTGGTGCAAGGTCGGCGATACAACTACATTTGAAACAAATGATAAATTATTCAATTAATTCCGATTATTTTGATCAAACTACAAGCTGAATTCGAATTATTTAGAAAGTGAATCAGATCATCTTAACATCTTTCAAAATTTTCAGTTCAAAATTATTCATCGCTTTGATTCTATCTTCGATAATCACTACAATTTTTGGTTACTGAACATATTCTTTTTTGATTTAAACCAATGATAGTTTCATCAAACTTTCAAGTATAATTACTTCCAAGATTCATTCTTTTATCGTTAAGTTATTTAATTTATACGTTTAGCCATAAGTATTTTCAGTTAATGTAATCCCATTTATAGAGTTGAAATTCATCAAATTTCAGTTGGAGAAACTGACCTATGATCGTTTACTGTTTGATAGATAAATATGTTAGTTTGTTCAAGTTTCTCATATTGCTAAATTCCGTTTCCAACTCCTCAAGGATTACTGTTCACATTCCTGATAATTTTTCTTGCAACTTTATTTTCAACTGCGATATAACAGGTAGAGGTAACGCATTATTTTCCAAATCTGTCTTAAAACAGTCGACAATTATTTAACAGAAATATATAATTACAAGCACAATACAAAAAAATTAAGTATTAAATCTTTGTGCTGAATTAGATAAAGAAATATTTTGAAATATACATTGTTAATTATTAACAAATTTTCGCAGCAACAAAATCTGATTTAATCTCTGAAATATGTATCCAACACAGAGTATTTTTTTGGCGAGCAACTTCTCTAAAAAAATATTGTCCACTATTGAACTATTTCTAGTTTTGAATTTTTTCTAGTTGGGATTTGATTAGAACTGACGAAAAACTTTCAGAATGCTTTAATGAGCCTTTGATAGTACTACGGATGTATTTATTAATAGTTAAAGTATTCATTTGATTGAGAGAACAGTGACTATTGCTCTTGCGAAATTTTACCAAAATACGTTTACAATTGAGAATTTACTTATTTTGTGCTTTTCTTGCGCTCAACAAACGTAATTTATTTAACTTTTCACATTCACCGACAATGTCAATTGCATTGAAAATTAATTGCTTGTTTCCTTTAAAGCGAGCATTGTCACCTTTGCTTTCTTTAAATTTGAGATTGTATTTTGTAAATATTTAAATAGGAAACTGATCAATATAATAATATACTCAAATAATTGTCTTATCGTTTAAATAACATATTCATATTGGATCACTCTGAGTAATTACAGTCACTATTAAAATAAATATACTATTATCTGTTCTGTTGATATGTAAGATATAAAATGGAATTGATAAAAATCATTTCTTTTAGATGTGAAAAGGCAAGTTTCTAGATTTAGAATAAAAATTTTAATATATGTGAGATATAACCGAACAAGCATATTCCATTATCTATTCCATTATGAGAACATAATAGACCATTTTTGCATCACTTTCGCTGAAGCTGGATAATGTTACGTTTTACAAATACAGTATGTTTATCCTCTATTTGATACAGCTCAACTATCAAAATAAACTATCATCAAGCCTAAAGTCATATTTATTGAATGAAATTAGAATGAACTTTTTGATAAACCCACTATTGATTTAAATCCTCCAAAGAAAATATGGTGAAAATAAATTTTTCAAAGCTTGGTAATTGCAATGGATGTAAAACAACAATTAAAGAGTGAAATGCTTGAAGGTTGTTAAATTTATTTTTTTGTTTTCAGCACAAATTCTAATTTAGATCGAAACCCGTTCAAAAGAATTGGAATTAATTTGATATCCCAACAACAGTTTGATATTTAGTTCTACCAACTAATTTTTGAATGAATCATTCTTCCTTGGTTTTCTGATAGAAACACTGAGTTTGACTTTCAATTAACAATAAGTTCTCCAATATAATGATATTTAATATCAATATCCAAAGATTGAATATGAGCATAGGAATGGTTTCACCATCTCAAATAATAATTAAAGGCTGATTGATAAATAATGGATGCTAAAGGATTTAGCTCCACTAATATGTAATTAAGAAATAATCCATTTTTGATTACTTGGGACAATAAAACATCTTATGCTTCAGCGGAAGAGAATGCAATAGATGATAGATTCTTTGCGAACCACCATAGCAAGTAAGTTTCTAGCATTGCCAAAAAGCCAGTTTGACGTTTGCTTGTGATTTTATCGCTTGCCCAATCATCGCCATCAACAACTGTTAGTGCAAAAAGTATCTCTAGAGGATAACTGATGACTGTTGCATACTCTTTGTTGTCATCAAGTCTAAAGGCTATATGATTTAGTTGAATATTATTACTATAATAATGAATGCACAAGTCATTTGTTTGCAAAGATATTGCAACATTCAGAAATACCCTAGTAACTCATGTTTTGATGGTCTAACAAAATGTCTGGTTCGAAGTGATTTTGCATAATGATATCATGTATGACAGTAGTATCCTTAAATAGGAATGTGCCACGAGTGGATTTATATTGGAAATGATCCTTTTCATTAGGAATTGTTGATTCAACACCATTGATTAATCCTTTCGCCGAAGGTGCTTTAAATTCTTTTAATGCTTGAGCTTCGAAATTCGATAGAAACTCCTTAGTTAAATCTATTGAAAAAGTTTTGCATAAATCATTTCTCTGCTTTAAATAAACTTCAAAAGACAGATTTGAGGATGAATTATTTTCTTTTGCAAATTTGTTCATGAATAATGATTTCGCGTTGTTAATCTCATCATTTGTGTTGCCCGCAATTAAATTATCATTAACGAAAGATAATATTCAAGTAATCTATTCGAACGGAAATGGTACCAACCATCTTTGAGTGATGTTATTGCATTTGTTTGAGCATTAGTGACCATATTGATCAGAATAACTTGGGCTTGTCTCAAACAGTACAATCCCATTCTTAATTTCTAAATCTTTCTTTTTAATGTAGATGATGCAGCATGAAATGCAAGATAAAGTGGATCGACTACTGTTCCATTCATGAAAGCTGTCTTGGCATTGAACTGGCAGATATTATAGTTGTTGATGCCGGGTGATAGAAAATGTTATCGTAATGGATCATTTTCTTGGCGGGAGCTTAAAAATGAATATAGTAATTAGCAAGTTCGATGAAAAATGTTTTTCATGTGATATTGCCTTAAGTGGTTGAGACACGTCAGCTTCATCATCAACATTGAATGGCTAATTTCCTTTCACTATTTTGGTCATATTTGATGTCGCTGAAACTAAAAGTTAAAAGTCATCTTATTGAATCCAATTCATTTGATTTTGATTTGGGGATAAGCCCCAACATTTCGTGGGCCTACTTACCCATCAGAGTATAATGTTGAAATCATAGAGTTGAATCTTCATACTAATGTATTTGCTTCTCTTTGAACAAAAAGAAAGGTTGAGTTTCCTGAGAGTTTTTTAATTATTTCAATTTTACCTGGGAATTAATGTGGTGGTTGATCTTCAATTTCTTGACAGCCAGTAAAGATATCAATGATTCAAGTAGTAATCATTTCCACTGTTAGACAAAATTATTCTGTTGAAATTATATCTTTCATTCATGAAAAGATAGTTCCTTGCTGTTTTGGTAATTTTCTGTCTTAGTCGGTGAGTAATTTTAGATTTGTTACAAGAAACGTAAAGATTGATTGAGTGGAGACTACAGACTATTGTTGTTTCAACTGTAAGAGTATTAACTGGTTCATTGGTGAACTCTTTGATATTAAAACGAGGATTCATTTGTGACTCTTCTACTAAGGATGGAATAGCGAAATTACAACTTTTATTGTGTAATGGTTCTCTCAACTCAACACACCTAATTTTATTGATAGTATAGCATGTATGCTCCAGCGTTCCAGTTCAATCGAAGAATGTTAGTTTGTTGGAGAGTAAGTGAGCTAAAAATAAACGGGTTTTTGGGTCATTATTTGCAACTGCTTTTATTCAATTGATAGAAATAGCTAGAATTGATTTGTCCTTCGAAGTGAATTATTTTGGAAAATCTTTTTGCCGTTCTTTTCCAACATAAAAGCAATTTTGGTTCAGGAATTGAAGGCGAAAAAAGGAAAATTGTGGACTTTCTCGAAAATTGTTTCTATGAGATTATGAAGGAATGCAAACTTTAGAGTACATAATTCTCCATCAATTTAAACGCTTTTTGCGCTGCGTTAATGAGGTGCCATGAAAATTCATAATTCTTTTGTTTTGCAATTCCATGGAGCAAAAAGATAAAACGTTCAATTAGACTTTGCAATATTGTTTTAAAACCCAAAAGTCAATTATTAACTCGTTCATTGTGAATGTGATGTGTTCATTGAAAATTCATTTGTTCATTTTGAAAGGATGAATGAGTTGAACTGACTTCATGGATGTAATTTTTTTTTCTCCAAAGATTTTAAAAAGATTTGTATTGAATTCATTATTGTTCTTGATCAACAAAGGTGAATTAATTGCGAAGGTATGTAATCTTTGAAATATACATAATTATTCTATTTGTGGTTCAGCTGCTTCGCACATGATCTAGTGAATATTGAAAGGAATAAATTTCATTAGCTTGAAATTTTCACTTTACATTATTTTTCGAATGCATAAAGAATACTAAGATCGCAACAATTGTTGCTTCTGCAAAATCTGCTCTAGGGATTTAGGCCATTGATATACTTTTCAGAAGAATAATCTTTATTGTTTCGTATTATAATCGTTCTTAGTTAAAGTTATTTTATTTTTGCATTTATACCTTACCTATTATTTCTTGATGAAATTTTTTTTTTACAAATGAACTTTATCAATTGTCAGTTAATGTTTCCTTCATCATACAATAGAGCCCTTTCACACTTCAGCTGAACATAAGCAAATAAGTTCGTTATCATCTCATGTAAGAATCTTACCATTTGATTAAATTTCTTCAATTCAAAAATTGCTTTTCATTTTCCGGTGAGTGTTGGTTTTTCTTTTAAAATACTTTTTTCTTATCAATTCTATTTTTTTTATTCATTAACGATAGACCAATAATTCTAAATGTTTCTAAGTGCAGTTTAGAGTTATCTAGCGCTGTATTATATAAATATATAGTTAAAACAGCGATACAAATAAACTTAATAAAAAATTATATTAATGAACTAGTTATTGAAGAGTTTACACTATCCAATTTCAAACGATAAACTGTAGGGAATCTTTACTTTGCACAATATTTCATTTTCGTCCAAATTTGGACAATGATTGAATTAAGTTTCACAAATTTATTAAATCTTTTAGATTAATGCAGATTGAAAACTTTGGGACTGGGGCGCTATTGCCCCCATTACAGACTTTGCTCACCAAAGGAGTCATTAATTTTTTTCATTTTGTTCAGTTTAAGTTAATGAAATTCGTGGCTCCTATTCATGGGATTCAAACTTCAAGAATATTTGCTGGTATCGTTGAAAATATAATCAAAGGGGGGATTTAATCTAAGCAAAGTAGAAAAAAGATCAAAGACATTGGTAATGTAATGTTCATTCAAGCCAATGAATGATTCATGGACAAATGAAATTATGAAAATGATAAGCCTCTTACCACGTTATTTGATCCATGAGTCATTGAGTTCAAATTCAACCAATTGTTCGAAAGGATTGAGATCGATTTAGGTCATGATGCAGCATTTCTATTTATTGCTGCCAATGCTGCGCATCTTAAGAAAGAAACCAAAGACTTGGCAAACTAGTTTAGAAAAAGCGGTTTGGCGAGCTTCGCTTTCGAAGAGAGTAATAAATGGCGCCATTATAAATTAATGGCATTTCCAGCGATATTAGCCAATTAAATGAAATGATTACCAACAAATTGATCAAAATCAATTGAACTCACGTCAGATCTTGAGGAACGAAATCGTTTCTTGAGTGAGCTGCATGCCCAGAATGTGGACATTTTGGTGATCCGAGCAAAAATGGGAGAAGACCAAAAATACTTCAATCTTACGAAAAGTTCAGTCAATTGAGTGTGCCGATTAGTTCGAAGTTGTTATTCACAATGAATCAAAATCAGAATCCGAGGAACGTCATTTAGCTGTGATCATTTGCATGTTGTATATGTTCTTGATTCAGGTGCACAACTCATGTTGTAAACTGTCTTGAATATTCAGCTGATGAAAAAGATCAGAACATATTATTCAAGGGAGTGAGTAGTAACGATATTCTCACAATCAAAAAAACTGTTAATGATGGTTTTTCAAAAATATCGGATGTCAAGCAAATTCCAACCTCAGACAGCAATAAAGTTAGTGTTTCTAATTTGCTCAAAGCTGGTTTCACTTATCATAATCAACCAATGAAACTATTCATCGACAAACATGGTCTGATCATGGCTGAGTGCTAAAAAATTAATAAATTATAGTTGTTAAGTGCAAAAGGAATAAAAATTGATTTTGCTTTGAACCCTGAATAAGACTTGAAGCGCATTGACAACCATCATCGCCATTCATTTTGAATCAAATAATTGTCGTGACGATGAGTGAATTCACCCCTGCCGACTTTACAATTGCATAAAAGCCTCTTGAAATGTGTGCTTCAGTTGTAAAAACACTACAACTCTCAAAATTTATAAGATCAAAAACATTAATTATTGGGCAATACCTTTCTGCCTATTGTCATATTTTTAATAATGGTGTTCATAAGTTATTTGTGGCGGAGTATGAGTTTTATTTCATTGTTGGTCGAGATCTCTTATATATATTTGAAGCAACGATGATATACTTTGAACCAATGTATTCTCAATTGTTTTCAAAGTTAAAGAAGTAATGTATTCAATTATATTTAATATTTGTATTGTGTTTCTAGTAATATCTTGATATAAAATAAAGGTTTGATAATTATAAAACTACATAGGAGAATGATCAGCTATCTCAGTCGGGTTTATTACAGGAACGAAGTGAATTTGAAAGGGATGATATAGCTATTATGTAAACCGGAAAAGATCTACAATAAGAAATACAATCTTGGAGTATGAGTAATTTGAAAATAGAAACAATTGCTCTATGGTATCCAAACAATTCGTAGCTGAATAACGTTAACTGAAATTGGATCAAAATCACTTCCCAAGTTGATTAATTTTCACTAAACATAAAACCGGTTTGAATGTAAATAAAACCGCACTTGAGCAAATAATGGTAAAACAATAAAACAAATGTAAGTTGAAAGTTTTATATATATATCGTTAGCTCATATCCTGCAAACAAAAGAATGCAAAATGGAAGAGCTTGAAAATTTGGTAATTGAAATGAATGTGAGAATCTTTGTAAATTAGAATAATTCAAGGGAATTAAATTACTTCCTATCACTGTTTCACGTTTTGTGATCTACACTTTAATTTGAGCTGAACAATTGGAATTAATTTCATTAATTAGCAGGTGTTTTAAATGTACCGTGAGATGCGATCTTGGTAGAAATTTCTGCCACATTGGCTTTCAGATGGAAACCGCAAGCTTCTTTTCCTTGTTAGAGACAACTTTTCAAATAAAATGATATTCCTTATCAATATGGTTTTATCCTCTACGTGCATAGGAATTGGAAAATACCACCTGATAAAAAAGATTATCTCCATATAGACAAATATCACCACTGTTTTTTCTTGGGTGTTCTGACTTGTATTTTAACCATATTCCCCAGTTCCTTGCTTAAAATGATATAACTTCCTCGGCTTCAGTAGTTGACAAAAAAACTATGAATGACTATTTG